AAAAGATGCTGACATTGCATTAGACAAAAACTGAGAAAGCCTGATAACAAAATAACTAGAAGGGCTTTAAACTGGAACCCATATAAGCAAAGAAATAAAGTGAAACACACAACAACAAAAACAAACTAGGGAGCTAGAGTGAAGTTAAACAGAGGAGGCAGACATGGCTGAACTGCATGCAATAGCAGAGAGTAGGAAGATCTGACACGAGCTGGTTAAGAGCCTATGCTTCACTGGGGGATAAAAGGCAGAAGAAGAAGAAGTACCATTACACAAACTTAGGCAGCAATGTGGTCATAGATAAGAAACCATATACAGCAGTCTTTCCCATTTAGTGGGGGTCAGCCAGAACAAATTTACAGGGTCTGTGACATCTTTTAGACACATGCAAAGCGCCTACACGTATGCACACACACCTCAACTTTACAATGCAATCATTCCGTGTGGGTTCGTGGGCTCCATTTTAGTGGAAAAAAATTAATGACCCTCTGCCCCAGCCCCTTTCCCCCCAAGCATGCTGTAACATGTGACTCATTATGGGCTATAGGAGCCACCTCTTTGTATCGGCTAGATAGATGCTCGCCTGCAGATCCAAACAAAGGGCGTGGGTTCGCGACCTGCTGGAATTAGACTTCTTTCAAAGATTGACCTTAGCTCCCAGGTTGACCCAGCCTTAAATGGGTACCAGGTGAAATCATAGCACATCACCCACTGAGTGCCAACTGGTCTATAAAATATAGGTGAGCCCTATACGACCAATTAGCCAGAAGGCATTGAGAAGAGGTCCTTTACTTTTACTTTTTTTTTTAAATATATTTTTATTTAGGGTGTTTCAGACAAACATAAATGAAATTTTAAAAAGGACATAATGTTCTCACCTTGTCTGACATGTCTGTATTCTGCAGGTAGATGTTGATCACCTGAGGTCTGCTAACTGGCAGATGGCTAGATATCCCATAATTCTCCAGATGCCACATGTGAAGATGGTAGGCGTAGCGCTGGCGAAAGGCATCTAGATGATGTTTGCACAACAACAGACCACGCTGAATGATGGGCAGCTTGCCTGCAGGGTCCTAACAAGAACATGTCACAGATATCCCAAGTTAATAAAACGTTCAATACTAAAAAAGACTCAAAAAGGTGAACACTGACAATCACTGCGGTTGTTTAAATTCCAGGCTTTTCAAGGTCAATGAATCAAGAATCTTGACAGGTTAATTGCAATTCTGGACCTTATCATGATAACATGAATCTTGTTGACACCATTGCATTCTGGACATTATCATACATGCTCCGTTTCTCTCCTCCGAAGCCAATAAAAAGTTTTCAATACTTATGGTGGCAATTACAGCCTGATTACAAGTTCGTCTGTTTTTTTTTTTTCTACTGAGGGTAAAAAAAATCATTCAACTCCCCTGCTCACGTCCAGCTGAATCATTCTCTCCATATATGAATGCATAGTCTGTTCTGTTGCTTTGTTACCCTTGATCCAAGCCAACCTTCAACAGTAAAGTAAAGTAGTTTACTGCTCAGAGGTACGGCAGCAGCCCATCTATCAGCCTGCTCGTTACCCTCTACACCTGAATACCCTGAACTGAGAAAAATGACATCTCATCATCTTCACCAAGTGCCTTGTTGACATGCATGTGTATTATTTTAAGTGCTAACATCTTTCTATCCTATGGCAAAAAGTTATCAAGATTGCTCTTTCATTTTCTTTCTCTCTCTTTCCATAAAAGTTTATAGTTTTTCTCTTCTCAAAATGTGACAATTAATGATGGCTGACTGTGGTCATGTTATCCGTGCACCTTAGTCTCATTCAAAAACACAATGAAACCAATTTAAAACATTTGATATTTTTCTTATGTGATGAGGAGGGAAAGAAGATGAGAAATATTGACATCTTAAAAGATCTGAACATCAAGGAAGATTGGCTAATAAACAGCATCCTTTCTCGAAAGCTGAAATACTTTGGTCATATCAAGCGCCACGACGGATTGGAAAAAATTATAGCAGAAGGCATGGTACCAGGAAGGAGGGGCAGAAGCCGACCGACACGAAGATGGGCACAGGATATAAGTGACTTCTTGAGTGTGAAAGTTCATGAGGCGGGAGAACTGGCAAGAGACCGAGTTTCTTACAGACAGACTGTGATGAGAGAGACGTTCTGCAAAGGACCTGCTACATGATGATGATGATGAGGAGGAGGGGCTGATGGAACTGTTAAGAATGTCAGTCTCTCATGAGGAAGATCCAGGTTTAAACATTCAGTAAGGTTTATGGGTTTTCCTTTTGGAAGCAAAATTAAAATTCCTAACCTATACAGTCCATGGCAAGAGCATAAGCCATGTGGCTCTAAATCCTCAGGTCAAAGACCCCATGCCAACCACAAAAGTGACACACAGGCAGAAAAAACATTCTGACAGCTCGTATGACATGGTACTTTAAAATCGGGTTAGAATCTGCACACAAAATTTCATGTCCAAATGTGATGCTCTAGAACTGTCATAGAAAGTTGCGTATAAATTCGGGACGCTGCAAAACCAACCCCAGCATTGTCTGGCTGTTGTGGTTTTTACAGGCAAATTTTTATGTTCAGAAGTTTTGTTGCTGAACGGTCAGCTCTTTGGTACCACTGTTGAAACCAATGTAAGACAAATCCACAGCTGGGATTTAACCCAGCACTACGAAGCGTGTTAGCAATGCTTAAGCCACAGGCACTGACAGAATTGGCATAAAGTGATGTAAAGTTTAACATGTACAAAATAAGTCAATTTCTAGAATTCACAACTCACAACAAATGTGATATAAATAAACTATTTTAAAATTAAAATAGACGCATTTATAATTCTATAAAAACACAAATGAAAAGGCATTTGGTATGTACAAAACATACAAAAACAAGAAAGGTTAAAACAGATAGAATTAGGTACAACTCTGTGAAAGAGAACTGGTTCCACAAACCTCAGTCAAAGTATGCATAGTCTTCATCAATCTGTTCATGCACCGCTGTACAAACTCCTCCTCTTTATCCAGCGTACCACCACCATAGTTGATGTAGTAGTTGTTGAGGATGTGAATAGCTTCGGCCGAGACTGCTTTAGTGTTGGCTTTCAGGGCAATCTCCCACAGCTGATCCATACCACATGCCTGCAACATTCACACAAATCAATGTTTATATGTCACAAAGACACATCTGGGTATTAACTGGCTGAAACTCCAGACAAAAAGTTCTGGTTTTTCACCCATTCCTGGACTTAGGCCTTATTCCCAACCCTGAGTTTGTGTTCACATCTGTTTTACAATCTGGCTTATTTTTGCAGACTACTGGCTCCTCGCTTCTCAGGCACATGCGCTCCGGCTTCGAAAGAATGCGCCCTTAATTAATCAAATTTGATGACACGCTTGTTGGAGACTTTTAGTTACGTGTGTGTGTACTCCTTCTTCTCTCCCCCTCCCCCCAGTCCTAAAACTAGAACCCAGAACCCACACCACGGGGATTACAAAAGCTAAAAAAATATCACCATGAGAATATTTGTGATTTTAAGGAAGAGAATAAAATGAAGTACTTCTACTTTGTCTTCTCTATGTCCTTTAGTCCTTTTCTGACTTTCAGTTCCAGGTTTTGAAGAGGCATCAGGTGTATGTGCTGCGTAGATGTGGGTACATATGGCCTTGGATGATCCATCTATCCATGGCTTACACAGTCAACCTCTAGTTCTACTTTGTGTTTACTGGCTGCAAACTCCAGAGAAAAGTCCTGGTTGTTTGTCCACTTCTAGACTTTGGTCTTGTTCCATGACTTAAATGTTCTTGGCATATCCATCTTACAGATCTGGCTTACTAATTGAGCAGACTGTAGATTTCTTACCGCTCATGCTGACACACTTCAACTTTGAAGGAAATGTCGATCAAATCTATGCTCCTAGTTGGGAGGTAAACCTGTTTCTAGGATGACAGCGGAGAAGTGTAGAATCTGGACAAGTACATGCCCCTCCTGGTTGGCAAACCAGTCTCTAGGATAACCACAGACAGCTGCATAATCTTGACCAGAATAAAGAAAGTTCTGGTAGTTTGTCCACTTTTGGACTTTAGTATTGTTCCGGACCTTGAGTTTTGAGTAACCACAAGTTTTACAAATCTGGTTTATTCGTATTAGACTGTCGATTCATCACCTGTCAGACAGATGCATTCCGACTTCAAAGAGAAAGCCCTTATTTAGTCGATTTTTACAACATACCTGCTATGGGGGTAGATGCATGATTATTTTTGCCCCATCAAGGCCCTGGATTCAGCAAGAGGAGGAAACACATTCAACGTACACATATTACAGGTGTAACAAACAGGTACCTGATCTTCCGTCAGGGCAAGTTTGCCATGAATCGACATGCAGGTGATGTTGGACAGTTGCTGGAACAAGTTGAGTCCAATCATGGGCATTGTCTCTGCTTCCAGCTTTGGCATCTGAGCATGATAACAGAGTATATGTCAACAATGATTATTTAAAGGATGTTTAACTGTTGTTGTTTAGGCATCTGCAGTTACAACATCTGACCGTATAATAAAAGAGTATGTAATTCACTTTAAATATTAAGAAAATGTTTAAGCCTGTAACTTTCGCATTTCCAGTTACGCCACCTGACCATATAATAAAAGAGTATGTAATTCACTATAAATATTTAAAAGATGTTTAAGCCTGTTGCTTCAGCATTTCCAGTTATGCTATCTGACCATGATAATAAAAGAGTTATTGGCTATAAATATTTAAAAGATGTTCAAGTCAATAATTGCTACTGGCTGATTTGTGGTGTCCTGTAAGGGATGCTGCTGAGGGAGGCCAAAGTTGCTGGACTGAATTCCACCAATGATATTGAACTGATTGTCCCCGTGTGGGTCCTGGGGCCCCATTGTGGGGAAAACAAGAATAGACCCACAGCCTTCTTAAAAGCATGTTATAAGAGTCGACTAATTTGGAGCTTCCTTCGAGGTCAGAGTACATCTGCCTGTGAGGCAGGAAACCAACAGTCTGCATGCAAATAACTGAGACCTGTGAAACGGATGTACACGCAACACTTAGTTTCTGGAACAGGACTAGAGTCCAGAAATGGACCAACAACCAGAACTTTTCGGCCAGAGTTAACTGCCGGCGAACATGAAGAAGAAGAAGAAGAAGAAGAGCTGATTGCACAGAGTAGAATGGAATGGAGGAATAGACTGTGAGCCCTATGTGACATATAATGGCACAAGAGGATTAGGAATAAATGAATGATATGCAAGGATATGCAACCAATTCAATTTTAACTGAAGACTGTAAAGCTATAAAAATATCAAGAACAGATATTTCATTTTGTAAAATGCTGCCTATGCTTGAGCTACTTTACTTATCTTTCCTCAAAGTTACCTTATTGATAAAGATATGCTTCATGGTGTCCAGATCCAGCGCATGGTTCTCCTTGCCTCGAGCCTGATCATAAAACCAGCTGAGACAATCCTCACAACTCTCTGGGTTGGTCGCCAGGCACTCCCACAGTTTGTCCGTCTGTTCCTGGCTTAATCCTTCACAAAATAACAAACAATCAAGTTATTATAGAGCAAACAGAAAAATTTCTTGATTTCATATTCAACAATGGGGCCCTTGTGGAAAAGAAGATTACAAAAGACATGAGGGCTTTCATAGCACTAGGACATTTGTGGACGTCAACATAGATAAACCTTGAATCAAATCTCAAAATATTTTATACAAGCAGAGTTGAGTTAAGTTAAGAATTGACATCACAGCACTCTGGGCATTCCCATGCATGCTCCGTCCTCATCTTCAGCAGATAGTGCAGAGTTCCAATACTGATAGTACTGGTCACAATCTGGTTATATGTCCGTCTTGCCTTTCCTCTGAGTGTAGTGAGCCGGCCAGACCCTCTGGTTACACTCAGGTACCTCATTCTCTGCAGGCCATAATAATCTTGTTTCTCTACTGATTCCGATGTTTATTCCCAAAGGGCCTTGACCACATCTGCCTTGTCATGTATCATTTTACCACCCAGTGGTGCAGATCTAGCCAATCTGTCTGCCTGTTCACTACCCACATGGAGAAAAGATACAAGTGACAAGCCAATATAAGCAGTTGATCAGCATTGTCCTTTCCAAAACGGCGCTCTTCACGGTACACCTGAAAATATTTTTTCTAGCCAATTCTCCACCAGCCCTATGTGCTTTCACTGTCAATGCATCATACCCTGTATCCACCTTCCTTGAGGTCGGCCTCTGCCTCGTCTTCATCTTCCAACTGCAGCCAATCACCGTTATCTCCAGGTGATCATGCAACTTAACATGTCCATAATACCTTAGCTTTTGGGACAGGTCGCCGTTTACCAGTTGTTGTTGTTATCGATCCAGCGGCGCATGAGCTTTCGCCCTTTGGCCCAATGCCATGTAGTGGAATTTGCATGTTTTCACAAGCTGTTCTTTTCCTCCGTACAAGGTGTTCCACTTGTCTGGTCTCGGAGGGAGTAGCGTTCTTCTTGTCTCACTGAGTTTTGGGCACTCAAAGAGATGGTGTTCAACAGTTTCGTAGGGGTAATTACATAGCTGGCACTCTGGGGAGTGTTGTAGAAGTGTTAACCAGTTCTATCTGATGTTCAAATCATGCAGGATGTTGATGTTTTTCTTCTTCTTGATCCAAGTTATTGCTTTTAAACATCAGGAAAATGAGAGGACTAAATCAATTTCTAATAACAAACTATATACATTCACCAACCAGTGCCTGTACAGAATGGAGAGAAATAAATGGTATAACCAGAAATGGGACTACTGGAATATGGTGAAAAAAGTTTGACTATGCGTCATCGCACAGAACACCTGTAACATTTGTCATCTTCCTAATACCCACCGGCTGCAAACTCCGGCAGAAAGGTATGGTTGTTCGTCCACTTTTGGACTTTAATCTTACTTCAGAATATGAGTTTTGAATCCAGATCTGTTTTGCAGATCTGGCTTAATTGTATGCAGACCATTGGCTCTCTGCTTCTCAGGCAGATGCAAACTGACTTTCAAGGAAACATTCCTTATTGGTCACCTTTTAACTACATGCTTCTTAGGAGGGCAGTTCTTCCCCCCCCCCCCTTTCTCCTTTTACCAAATGGGAGCCCAGAACCCACTTGGAGAAATACTGCAATCAAAACACAACCACGAACTTACTAAATGCATTAAAAAACCCACTTACTAAAAGTTTCTGGGGAATACTGGCATGAGAACACACAGGATAAGAACACAAGACGTGCGGAGACCTCTTCTTTGAATCCATGGCTAGTAGAGAGAGAAAGAAGAAAAAAAAAAAACTATTTTAAACATCAGCAAAAATGATATCTGTAATCAATGAATCCCATTTAATATTATTCAGCAACAAAGACAACGGTCTTGGGATTTCTGTAGTCAAGTGGTCAAGCTGCTTGCCTCGTGCTCTCAAGGTCATAAGGTTCGTTTCATGGCTGCATTATTCAGGTCATGAGTACAATTTTAAAGGAAAATTCTGGGGATTCACCAGAGAAAGACTGAGTCACATGGAATAAAGCCTAGTGCAATGAAGTTGATCTTCACACCTTTAACCTTTGACCTTTAAGAAAGAAAATGGTAATAACGCAAAAAATGAACACACTCAACTCTCTCTGTAATAAAGAACGCATGATGTATTGATTTATCACTAATTTAACTGTCCTCTGGTATCAAAAGAGTTAAGTGACTGACTCAAGCTTTGATGCACAGTCCTAGACTCTTTGCATAATTTCTCTGTCTATCTCTGCTTCTCCTACCACTTATTTGTCCAGTTATAACAATGCTCTGTAATGCTTCTCATTTTATTATAAGGACAAAACACTACACTATAACTATGTTAGTTTCATTTTCAAAATTATACCACATGCTAGTAAATGGATAAATTCCAGAAATTAACACAGAAGCATTATTAAATAATTGCTGCCATTAGCTTTTAAAAGTCCAGATGTTTAATTTTCACATTTCAGATACTGAATAAAATAGACAAAAATAAGTCTAGAAATCTAAAAAAAAATGTTTATCTAGACAATGATGAATAATTCTGGAAAAGATATATACCTAGACAAGCAGTGGATGAGAGGGGAGACATGCGTGAGTGGGTTGTGGATAGGGAAGTAGTCACATGGATATCCTGGTAGTCAAACTGTAGACAGACAGACATTTAGATAGATAGATATATAGACAGACAGACAGAGAGACAGACAGAGAGATAGACAGACAGATAGACAGACGGATGGACGGACGAACAGATGGACAGGCAGGCAGACAGACAGACAGACAGGCATAGATAGATGCAAGAGAGAGAAGAGAGAGAGAGAGAGAGAGAGAGAGAGAGAGAGAGAGAGAGAGAGAGAGAGAGAGAGAGAGAGAGAGAGAGAGAGAGAGAGAGAGAGAGAGAGAGAGAGAGTGAAAGAGAGGGTGGCAGGAGGAGGAAAAGATGATTATACAAGGAATCAAAGAAACTCACTGAGAACTCCAGGTAGCTCTGTCTTGTGCCTGCTCGGTGAAGTGAACCAAATTGTTGAAGAAGTGGGTCATCATATTCAAAGTCCTCTCTGCCCATCTGAAACAAATACGGAGGGAATTTTCAAACATCGTAACATGTTCCACTTCCATTCTAGGCTGTCGGGGCACCTTCAGTCTACCACAGGCCTACTTCCCAATTAAGACTGCCTACCTCTTACTAGTCGGTGTCTGGGGCTTAGACGTTGGGAACGCACTTTATAATGCTGTGGTTCCAGGTTCAACCCCAGTTGCGGACGAATTGCCTTGCCTTGGTTTCGACAGTGGTACCGAGCGCTGACTGTTCAGTAAGCAATAGCAAACTACTGAAAGTAAAATTTGCCTAGAAAAACCACAACAGCCAAAAAATGCTAGGGTTGGTTCTGCAATGTCCTGTAAAAGGATACGTAACTAAATTAACTAACCTCTAGACAGATTTTATGAGACAATCCTCAGAATATGCAAAAGCAACATTTTAGGACTTTTATTTAAGTGTTAAGAGTTTTTAATTAAAGTGGCGCTGGAACTACATCAGCCATGCACTCAGAACGGATAAGACAAGAGTCACCCATTAAGCCCTCACATGGTGTTGGGGGGAAAAAACACGGGGAAGACCAAGAGAGACCCTACATAGAACCATCATCTGGGAAGTCTCAACCATGGGCCTAACAAACATCCAAGACCTAAAACAGGTGGCGCCAAACCGTCAGACATGGAGAGCTATGACCTCTGCTGTATGCTCAAGAGGAAAGACTAACTACGGAAACAGTGAGTGTTGAAAAATGACAGCTAGAATTATATACAAACTGAAGATTATAAACAAATAAACTGAGAAGGGAAAACAGATAGTTCATCTCTGGTAAATGTTATCACAGGAACAAGATGGAGCTGGCTTGGAAATGTTTGCAGACTAAAACAGATAGTTCATCACTGGTAAATGTTATCACAGGAACAAGATGGAACTGGCTTGGAAATGTTTGCAGACTAAAACAGATAGTTCATCTCTGGTAAATGTTATCACAGGAACAAGATGGAACTGGCTTGGAAATGTTTGCAGACTAAAACAGATAGTTCATCACTGGTAAATGTTATCACAGGAACAAGATGGAGCTGGCTTGGAAATGTTTGCAGACTAAAACAGATAGTTCATCTCTGGTAAATGTTATCACAGGAACAAGATGGAACTGGCTTGGAAATGTTTGCAGACTAAAACAGATAGTTCATCACTGGTAAATGTTATCACAGGAACAAGATGGAGCTGGCTTGGAAATGTTTGCAGACTAAAACAGATAGTTCATCACTGGTAAATGTTATCACAGGAACAAGATGGAGCTGGCTTGGAAATGTTTGCAGACTAAAACAGATAGTTCATCTCTGGTAAATGTTATCACAGGAACAAGATGGAACTGGCTTGGAAATGTTTGCAGACTGCCTTGTGACATGGACAGCTCTTTGATAGAAAAAAAAAAAGAAGTGGGTGAGGGAGGGGAGGATGCAGACAACAGATTGGGGAAAAAAAATGTAGACTTTTTTTCTAGTGCTGAAATGCCTTGCGGCGTAAGGCCAGGAAGATATCTCCTAAATGGGCCCTTCTGTTCACTTTATATGAAGCAATTGTCTCTATATTTCTGCAGTCCATATTCTATGATCTCTTGTTATATAGCCAAACAAATTGATTTGCTGTCTACCTATAAAGTTCAGTATTGATTCTGTGCCAACTTTCCTCCAGATATCATTGTTCCTAAGTCCATCTTACTGTTGTATCTGTATAACATTGCTTTCTGTGGTGCCCTGTCTGATGCCAAACCATTTGACATAGTACCTAAACATTTCATTTCAGCAGTGACTATTTTCCTTTTGTCTTCTGAAGACGGTGTCCATGTGTGACACTGATAGCATAGCATTGGTGAGGATATTGTGTTAAAGTGTTCTTTTCGTGTATATATTTACATGCTTGCATTTCAAAACTGGTGCCATTTGACCTCAAACAATGTGTACAACTAAGAAAACCTAGAGGACAGGAGAAAAGTCAGCTAACAAGGGATACTATGGGCAGAAAAGCAGTAGACCAGCAACAAGGGAGATTACTTGTGAATGCCCAATTATGTGTCAACAGTAACATGAAAAGGAAACAGCAGATTTTATAAGGCAGCTGCATTCACATAAATAAACAAAGGGGGAATCTTTGACGCATTATAAACATTATATTTATAATAAACAAAACAGACAACATTTTGATCGGCATTCAAAGAAATCTATCTTTCTACGAGTGCTAATTAGTATATTGTATGTTTATTATATATATATAGATAAAATAAGGCAGCTGCAGTAATACTATGGCTAAAATACAAGCCCGTTACACCCACTCGTTATGTACTTCCCATTAAACCCACTCGTTATGTGCTTCCCATTAAACCCACTGGTTATGTGCTTCCCATTAAACCCACTGGTTATGTGCTTCCCATTAAACCCACTGGTTATGTGCTTCCCATTAAACCCACTGGTTATGTGCTTCCCGTTAAACCCACTGGTTATGTGCTTCCCGTTAAACCCACTGGTTATGTGCTTCCCGTTAAACCCACTGGTTATGTGCTTCCCGTTAAACCCACTGGTTATGTGCTTCCCATTAAACCCACTGGTTATGTGCTTCTCATTAAACCCACTGGTAATGTGCTTCCCGTTAAACCCACTGGTTATGTGTTTAAATCCCTGTCAACAAACTATTTTTTTATTTTTCAAACTGATCTTGATTCTGAGGTCCATAATAAAGAATTGTGTCAAAAACTAGATATAATGAGCTTGCATTTATTCAAGGCTGGGTTCACAGGATACAGTTAACATTATAAGTGAGGACTTACATGACAACACGGTGGGATCCACCTCCCATCGGACGCATGCTGTTGAAGGAGCTGAACAGTTTCGTCAGCAAACGGAGGGACACCACCACTGACCTGAAAAAAGAATACACTGATTATGAGCTTTCGGGCATATACTGATAATAAGTGGTTTCATGGACTGACTCATCCATGTCTTCGTCTTCAGCCTTCACGGTTATGAGGCAGTTGGCATGCAGTGTTGTGGTTTACAGCTAGGCTGTGATATATGTGCACTGTGACACAATACATCCGATTCATGAAACTGCTAATCAGTCTATTTTTATAACACGTGTGTTGGGGTTGGGGGGGGGGGGGGGGCAGTGGGTCTATTCTTGTTCCCCATCCACTCCAAAATGGGGTCCCAGAACCCATACGGGGCTCCCCCAAGACTGACCAAATCTTTACCAAAAACCTACTCCTCCATGACTGATTCCAGATCTCTTTCCTAAAACCTCACTCCTCCATGTTTCAAAACTGTTTGTATATTTGTTCTCAGCTGCACCGGTTTGAAACATCCAACATTAACTACTGAGAAGAAAACCGAGACTGCTGTGTCTAAAAGTCTTCTTCTTCTTTGATCCTTCTGTCAGAAAATATTATATTAGGAGGCCGGTAGCCTTTATGAAATCTATCGCACAGTCCATATCCTCTCGTGTATCATATAGTTTTGTCTTCATTGTGGCTGGAACAGGCCAGCTGGCGTCTCTGTTGGCAGCATACAGTTGACAGTGCTGGAGCACATGCTCAGCATTTTCAGGTGCTACGTTGCAAGGAAACTTCTCTGTGCTTCCGACACCCAAAAGTTTGAACATATGTTGACGCAGTCTGTTGTGCCCTGTACTTAGTCTAAATATAGTACACTGTCCCTCTCAGAAGAGGCGATGACGTGAGTCTTGAGGAAATAAAATGGTGTGTGTATCCAGCCACCTTTCTTGGATACTAGATTGTTTTAATATTTCAGTCTCTTAGTCTCTTGGTGAGTTAATTCACTATTTGATTGTACCATGTCACTGCAGCTTCTGACATTAAGTGAGTTCACTTATTGTTAGCATTCACTTGCTTGTAGAGTCTAGCAAACAGTTCTGGTCATATAGCTTATTTATTAGCAGACTGTTGCTTCCTTGCCTCTCAAGCATATGCACTCCGTCTTGTAAGGAGCATCGCTAATTATTCACCTTACATGATTGTTGCGCGCTGATTTGGGTTAAGTGTGATATTGTGGGAAGGGACAATGGTATACCTGTACTTCCTGTAAGTTCACAAGGAAAGAGTGTCAATATGATCCGAGTATTAAGAGGAGACCAGTGAAAACGTCTATTCATGAACAAGGCGTGCATGCACGAGAGAAAGTGGACGCGTGGGATTCTGTGTGGTGGGCTGAAAGCGTGGATAACGAGATAAAGTGTGAATTAAGTGACAGCGTGATTCTCGGGTAACATCAGCCACCCACATAAGCGTGATCCTCGAGAACGCCCACACAAGCGTGCCTCTCGTGTAATCACCATCCACCTACACGGATTCGACATATATAAATTGGGCTGTGTAGACAGTCCAGGGAGTGAGCTGTAGCCTGAGGGCTAAAAGCCCCTCGGGGGGGGCAGTAGTCAAGATAGAGAGAGAAGCGAGAAGAGAGAGAAAACGAGAGTCAGGGACCAAGTCAGGGTCCAGGTAATCTCTCGAGTCTAACGGACAAACATACCGTACGACTATCAGGCATTTAGGTCCGAGTAAGTGTCGGGATTGCGGTACATGTCCAAAAGTATGAGAGGACTTATGGTAGAAGTCCTGTCGGTCATTGGAGTCTAACCGACTAGAATACCGTACGACTATCGGGCATTTAGGTCCGAGTAAGTGTCGGGATTGCGGTATGGAAAATATGGTCCCGCTGGCAAAGTAAGTCCAGGGGACGGGAAGACCAGTAGTGTCTGGTTTCGGAGTACGGCAAGAGAAGTCCGTCTCCAGTCAGCCGTGTTGTATGCTGAATTAATATCAAGGTCCAGTGAATGGGAGAAGTCCTGTTCAGCTGTACGACGCGTCCGAAGAGTGGGACGCCGTCATCCTGGTATCTGCAGTAGTCCAGGAGAGGTCACTACACATTGAGAGATAGAGAGCTGTGAGGACAAATGAACGATGTGCGAATGTCAGCTGTGATCAATAACTACATCTCTGCATTTGTGTCATGTATCCTGTTAAATAAACTTGTATGACGGTGTCATCGTCGTCGAGTTGTCTTGTTAAGAAAGGAAGCTGAAGAGTACCTGCTAGACACTTGGTAGTGTGCTGACTCAATTTAGCACACAACAGTTTGGGGGCCAAGCCAAAGAACGAGGGACCTCTCAACATCTCATCCTCCAACCAACAGTTTGAGAGCCAAGCCAAAGAACGAGGAACCTCTCAACATCTTATCCTCCAACCAACAGTGTGGATACCAACCTAAAGAACGAGGTATCTCTCGTAATCTCATCCTTCACACAACAGTTTGAAAGCCATAAACTCAAGAACAATTCGGTACCAAACCAATAGTTTGAGAACCATAGCAAAGAACGAGGAACCTCTCAGCAGTCTGAAATTCTCAACGGTTTCAAAGCCATATCCACTCAAGAGCAGTTTCGTACCAAAACCAACGCTGAGAGGCCAGCGACACATAAAGAAGATTCGCAGAATGTGTTATTGATCCTGTTTGAACTGTAATGTCAACCTGTTTGTCGTAAAGTGAAGAACACAGAATCGTCAAGTCGCCAGATCTGAAGCCGTGTTATCCAGGAGCTGAACCTGAGATGGAAGCTATGCTTGGAGCTGAATGACCTGCCGGAGCTGCGTTTAGTGTGTTTCATCTTGCACTTGTCATCTCATCGTCCAACATTGACAGGTCTGTAATTGTAAATTGTGTAATGTTTTATTGCAGTATTTACATTGCTTTGACCACGTTAATTGTTTGGTACGTCTAAGATGTCATCTGTGTGAGATACTTGTTTTGTGGAAGGTTGGGAGGAGCGCTTCTAATTAGGTAACATTTTGTTGGTTGCATAATTTAGGAGCTGTCTTTTAGTTATTTCTGTCTATTAGTTTATAGACCGGAATACCTAGTTGTCTGCGTCAGGTAGCGTTAATAGTCCTGTACGTACGGTTTGTTATCGGTTGTGGTAATCCTTGGTGCTTTCGGTCCATTTTCTTAAGTGTACCGTCATACATAGCTTGTTTTCTCGTTGTCTTGTTTTCGTAAAAGTTAGCACTGTTATCGTAACGTTGTGTACTGTCTTTTATTGGTGTCCATCACACTGACATAAGTAACAGTCAAAATGTCCTTTGCTGAGTTTGTCAGCATAGCTGAGGAGTTAGAACTTAAGCCTGAAGAGATCCTGAGCTTTGCAGAATTTAGGATGAAAGAGGTAACAGAAAAACAAAAAGCTGCAAGACAAGCAGAAAATGAAGAAGCGACTAGAGATAAGAGAGCTGCGGAAAAAGCTCATCAAAAAGATATGGCAGAGTTGGCCATTACAGAAAAAGAGACAAAAGAATTAGCGAGGTGAGTCGCTAAAGAAAGGACAGGGTTCAAACCACTCAAGTAAAGAGGTGGTAAAGTATGAACCAAAATTACCTGTTTTAAAACCAGAAAGTGAGTTACATTATGACATTGAAAGATTGAAGAAGAACAGTTGTGTGTAGTTTTTTTGATGAATCTATTACCATAGAAAACACAGATTACATTTAGTAGCTTATCAATGAAGTGAATTTGGTGCATTAGTCGAAGTGCTCACGTTATGCGAATTGTGTGGGGATAAGGCGTAGAGTACCCAACATGTTATTAGCCACAAGATTCGACAAGAATCAAGCGTGGCGGAATTACGAGGACGAGGATAATGCAGTGCCTCGTGGTGATAATTCGGCTGTGGGCCGAGAGACTCTGTTGCCTGGGGCCAAGTCTCATCAGTTATCGTGTATATGTTACAGTGACCCAAAGGAAGGGCACGTAACCAAGAAGAAGAATCTGTCCTGAGTGACAACGCCAGAGTTATAAGAAGGCTATCGGTGACCCTAGGAGGGGCCGTAGGCCGAAAGCGAATGTTGTGGACTCACGCCGAGTCGAGGTGATGTGTTATCTTTCATGTGACACAGCCTTGGTAGCATATTATAATGTATAAGAGGAGCAATAGAGGGACAATAGTCCATAATCACCAAGTTCATTGTTATCATCGTGTACTCATGTAAGATTGATTGAATTGACTGCAATATCTATTTTACCATCTTTGAAATGTAATGGGATATTATAGGGAAATAGTGAAAAAACCAGAAAAAACCAGTATCTAGAAATGTAGAGATTGTTAAATTCCATTTTCCAGAATGAAGAAGAAAGTAAGAATTATGTTTAAAAACTGGGTACTCAACATTCATACCACATTTTGCAACAATTGCTGTCTGCGTTTGTAGGAAAGGCATACCAAACATAACGAAATGGGCAGAGCATTAAGCAATAACATTACGCGATTTACAAAAATCATTTACTTGTAAATCATTTTACGTTGCTTAATAGAATATTTTCTTTCCATGTGGCGTGTGACGTCGTTCTGAGCGGTGTACTTCCATATGACTGTGAAAGTCAATTGCATCCAAGTCATATATGCCTGCAGAAGATTAACACCAGCAAGAGACAGAATACAGCATCGAGAAAAGGAGAGCTGTGATGGTTTACAACACAGTGTTCAAGTGTGCCCACTACCTGTATGAAGGCCGCTTTACCCTGTATCAAACATGATATAGTTGTTATAATTAGATATTAATAGCCATGTGTTTGCTGTATTGAGATATACAATGATACTTTAGTTGACTACAGAAATGTTATGACATGTTATGATATCACATGTCCAATGATTATTATAATGGTAATATCAGCTCGCAACAAGGATTTGTTCTAACTCTACAACTGACAACTTAATTTCAGTTAGTTGTCAGTTGGGAGAGGGGGAGGATATGATGTTGCGCGCTGATTTGGGTTAAGTGTGATATTGTGGGAAGGGACAATGGTATACCTGTACTTCCTGTAAGTTCACAAGGAAAGAGTGTCAATATGATCCGAGTATTAAGAGGAGACCAGTGAAAACGTCTATTCATGAACAAGGCGTGCATGCACGAGAGAAAGTGGACGCGTGGGATTCTGTGTGGTGGGCTGGAAGCGTGGATAATGAGATAACGTGTGAATTAAGTGACAGCGTGATTCTCGGGTAACATCAGCCACCCACATAAGCGTGATCCTCGAGAACGCCCACACAAGCGTGCCTCTCGTGTAATCACCATCCACCTACACGGATTCGACATATATAAATTGGGCTGCGTAGACAGTCCAGGGTGTGAGCTGTAGCCTGAGGGCTAAAAGCCCCTCGGGGGGGCAGTAGTCAAGATAGAGAGAAGCGAGAAGAGAGAGAAAACGAGAGTCAGGGACCAAGTCAGGGTCCAGGTAATCTCTCGAGTCTAACGGACAAACATACCGTACGACTATCGGGCATTTAGGTCCGAGTAAGTGTCGAGATTGCGGTCCATGTCCAAAAGAATGAGAGGACTTATGGTAGAAGTCCTGTCGGTCATTGGAGTCTAACCGACTAGAATACCGTACGACTATCGGGCATTTAGGTCCGAGTAAGTGTCGGGATTGCGGTATGGAAAATATGGTCCCGCTGGCAAAGTAAGTCCAGGGGACGGGAAGACCAGTAGTGTCTGGTTTCGGAGTACGGCAAGAGAAGTCCGTCTCCAGTCAGCCGTGTTGTATGCTGAATTAATATCAAGGTCCAGTGAATGGGAGAAGTCCTGTTCAGCTGTACGACGCGTCCGAAGAGTGGGACGCCGTCATCCTGGTATCTGCAGTAGTCCAGGAGAGGTCACTACACATTGAGAGATAGAGAGCTGTGAGGACAAATGAACGATGTGCGAATGTCAGCTGTGATCAATAACTACGTTTGTGCATTTGTGTCATGTATCCTGTTAAATAAACTTGTATGACGGTGTCATCGTCGTCGGGTTGTCTTGTTAAGAAAGGAAGCTGAAGAGTACCTGCTAGACACTTGGTAGTGTGCTGACTCAATTTAGCACACAACAATGATATGCTCGTTATGGAGGCAGTGAGTCTATTCTTGCTTCCCAAAAAATAGGGGCCCTGGAACCCACACAGGAAGTAAAAGCTCCCTGTAACTTCTCGAAAAGAACTGGAAAGAACTAAAACAAGAAGAAAATCAATCACCAACTTACTTGTTTTTGGCCAGATTTTCAATGATTGCCTCAATAAACTTCATTCTAATCTGACGATCATTTGGGCAACACAAAAGGTTGGTGAGGGCTTTCTCTGCCTCGCTGGCAATACCCTCAGGAAGGAGTCCCTGAAGAAGATACAAACACATCACTGAACTCACAATCAAAGAAAATACAAACTCATCATCAAACTCACAATCAGGCAAGTGTTGTGAATCTCCAGCCCTCTCAGTTTCTTGCCTTTGTACACTCTGAAAAATGCAGTCAGCTATATCTTGTTACTTTACCCTCTGATTAATCATGAATATCTTGCTCACTTTCCTCCAGTTGACTTTTTCAAAGACGGATGTCTTGTATTTTGGCCGAAGCTGTCGACATTTTTTTCATCAACACTTTTCTTTTCTCCCATCCTCTATAAAATCCATGAATTGTATTGTGTTCTATGAGATATAATTCTTCTGTACATCCACAGAGATTTCAATTTAACTATTTCCTAATTGCTTGATAACTATCCAGAATTCCTAACTATAGTCTTCTTTTTCTATTCTCTACTCCTGGAACGCTTCACAGTGTTAGGGCAGGAAGAAAACTTTGAAAACAGTGACTGGTCCAGCAAACTGACAGTGGCTGGTTTACTGCTCGTAGAAAATGAAGAGATCTGAACCTTATAGTAATCAAAACCAACGCAAAAATAAAGATACAGCTCTAGTTGGAAAGAAGGGAAAACATAAAAACAATTAAACTGCCCTATGACTGCTTTCAAAACTTTAGGCAAATCCAGAAGCATTCTTGTTTCTCCTTCTTTGCGTTCGGTTTCGTATGCTAAGAGCAGACCATCAGGTCTCTTGTGAGCTCGCATGTCAGCTGCAGATCCTTCATGAACCCTATAGCTTGCTCTGAACACTTTGCTCTTGAGGCCAGGTGTCTTTTCGAAGTTGTATGTAGAGTGGGCAGGTCTGCAGAATGTGCTGAGGTGTTTGTGGTTCTGTCTGACATTCACACTGTGGGGAAAGTACAGTCGTTATTTTATGCATGTGGTAGTTGAGCCTGCAGTATCCACAAAAACAAAAAAACACACTTACCACCATATTGTCCTGAACCAGGTCCCACAACAAGGTGTGCCCAGGTTTGCAGACATCATCCAGGCAAAAGTCTGATGCCGGGCTCTTGGGCTTCTGCTTTGGTCTGCGAACACCATGACCTAGGACAAATAATAATAATAATGCGGTGATGAAAAAGCAATAATGCTACAAGATTATTAATGAAGAAATCATGATAGAAACATTATAAGAACTGAATGTTGTAAAAGTAAATAAGGATTCTTTTCCATGCCTACAGGTGTATTGGGCATACATACAGGACTGGACCCATTTTGTAAAGACCAACTGGCACTTGGTGGGGTATTTGGTCAACATCATGCCTGCTGCCTTTACTTCCCAGGACTACACCTGGTACACATTCAAGGTTGGGTCGACCTGGGAGCAAAGGTCATTTTTGAAAAAGCCGGTTGCACCAGGACCCGAAGCCATGACCGCAGATCCGGAGGCGAGCGTCTAGCCACTACACCACTACAACCACTGAATGTTGTTTTCAAACCTATAGACAGTATGTGTATAGTTACTTTTTCTTCTTCTTCTTTCGTTCGCATGAAATAAATTGTCTATATCTGCAAAGCCGCCTCTTGTATGAATTTCACTGTCTTTTGTAATTCACCAAGCGGCCCGTAAAGTTTGACTTCCACAAGTGTCTCTTTTGGCCAAATGTTTTGCCTGAAAGCGTTGAATATGGGACAGTCTTGAAGGATGTGATCTGTTGTTTCAGGTGCCAGTCCACAAGTACACATGGCCGATTGGCCAATCTTAAATTTGTTGTACATGTGGGAGCGAAGTCTATTGTGCCCTGTTCTAAGGCGAAGGATAATAACTTGCTCTGGTCTGTCCATAATATGGTAATCATCTTGTGCCAGTTTCGGTGGCATTCTGATTGATTTGATCATTCTCTTCTTCTGTTAATAAGAGACTGGTATGTCAGGTTGTTCTTCAGTTGCACCTTCCTTAGCTAGTTTATCAGCTTTTTCGTTTCCAGGAACTCCACAGTGGGAAGGTATCCACTGCATTACTAATTTACAGCGGTTGCCTAGTTCGGATAATAGTGTCCGTATGCTTGGTAATTTTCCAGACTGGAGTGACTGAAGTACTGCTTTTGCATCTGTCAGGAATACCACTGGTTGTGAAAAATACCCTGTATTTAGTAGTTTCTCTACCGCTATCTTGATGGCTTGAACTTCTGCATCATAGTTGTGACAGTGCTTTCCCGTTGGTAATTTGGCTGTATCCCTGGTATTATTAGGATACTCAATGTACACTCCAGCACCTCCGTTTCTGACTGCGCTTTCTGCTGACCCATCTGTGTAAACACGGACCCAAAGGTTCTGCGGGTATTCATCATCAAGTAAACTGAGGGTGGCTGTTTTGCGCTGCACACTGTTTTGTTCTTCCTTGTCAAATACCCCTTTCACTTCAGTCTTGATGTGTATTGGAAACTTATACTCCTCTCTCCAGGGGTCCGCTCTGGGACAGCATTTAAGGATCTATCAGTTACTGTTACTTTTTGAATTTGAATTACTTTCTGCAATATGGAGGATACTAGGTATAGTTACTTTTGACAGAGGCGGCAAGCATGATGCTGACCACATCATCCATAAATATGTTATGATGCACTAATAGTCCGAAAAGAGTCTCATCAGTTAAGATGGTAATAATAGTTACTTTTTTTTTATACACAGTATATGTATAGTTGCGGCGTCCGTGGCTAAGGCGTTGCGAGTCCGACTCGTAAGCCAGCATACCGCGATCGAAACCCACTGCAGGCTGCGTGGATTCTTGTCGTGGTATGGGACGTCGCAGGTCGACCCAGCCTAAAATGGGTACCAGGATGGGCTGTCCTGGGAAAGTAAAGACAGCCGGTGTAATGCTGACCACATTACCCACAGAGTGCTGATGGTCTGTAAAAATATGGGACGCTCTGCCCATATGCCCGATGCGCCGAAAGGCGTGAAAAGGGAACTTTACTTTACTTTTTATATGTATAGTTACTTTTTGAACCTGTGGACAGCAGGCGTATAGTTACTTTTTGAACCTGTAGATAGAAGATTTATGGAGGGGCATGATCGCCCACGCCAGTCGGCAAGGCACCTGATGATGATAATGATGAGATAGAAGATGTACAACTTTCTGAACCTGTAGATAGAAGATGTACAATAACTTTCTGAACCTGTAGATAGCAGTTTTATAGTTACCTTTTCAACATGTAAATAGTAAAGTGTATAGTTACTTTCTGAACATGTTGATAGTAAGTGTGTAGTTATTTGTTGAGCGTGTAAACAGAACTTGTAAATTACTTCTCAAACACTTTGTGAAATTTAGACTGCTAACTAACTCTGTGCAGATAAATAAATGGCAACAAATGACAACCTGGCGCATAGACACACATTAACTGACAAATCTTTGTGACTACAGCTGCTAAAAGTGGGGGAACTGAGAATGTCACTCTGTAGAGATACTGACCTCTGGCATGGGGATGGTATAAAGCAGTGATGTGTGGTGCCGGCTGATTAAATCTGACATGAGCATTGATTTGTGCTAGCTCTTCCTCGCTCAACCCCTCCTCACCGTCAAAGTCTGCCATGTTTTTCTCAGACTTGTTACTGATCCGAGAACTGTGGCAGCTGCCTTCGTCGTCATCGGGGCTAAGAATACTCAGTCCATATGTCCTGAGGGAAGAAAACAGCAAAGCATCAGATTACTAAAATGAATTTCCCATGCAGAGAAGAATTAAAGACATAATTTTAGAGATAAGTTGTATACTATGGTAAATATTTCTATATGAAAGTTAATATTTCTATATGAAAGTTGAAATTTCTATATGAAAGTTAATATTTCCATATGAAAGTTGAAATTTCTTTATGAACGGTAATATTTCTATATGAAAGTTAAAATTTCTTTATGAAAGTTGAAATTTCTATATGAAAGTTAAAATTTCTATATGAAAGTTAATATTTCTATATGAAAGTTGAAATTTCTATATGAAAGTTAAATTTCTATATGAAAGTTAATATTTCTATATGAAAGTTGAAATTTCTTTATGAACGGTAATATTTCTATATGAAAGTTAAAATTTCTTTATGAACGGTAATATTTCTATATGAAAGTTAAAATTTCTATATGAAAGTTAATATTTCTATATGAAAGTTGAAATTTCTATATGAAAGTTAAATTTCTATATGAAAGTTTTGAATTTTGTAATGAAAAAGAAATTCCTATATTACAGAAGAGAAGTATGCAGGAACTAAGGGGAAAAGAAAAACCCACATTCAAGGAGATCTATATGCCCTATTAGGAAAACAGAAGCCTATTCATCTTAACAGAGAAGGGGAAAACCTATATTACAGAAGTCATTATGTTGCAATGGAGAAGGACAATTATTTTATTAAAGAAGTCATTATGTCCCAATGAAAGAGGAAAAATCTATAGTAAAGATGTCACTACGTGCCAATGGGAAAGAAAACCTACAGTAAAGAAGTTATTATGTCCCAATGAAAGAGGATCTATAGTAAAGATGTCAAACGTGCCAATGGGAAAGAAAACCTATAGTAAAGAAGTAATTATGTCCCAATGAAAGAGGAAAAATCTATAGTAAAGATGTCACTATGTGCCAATGGGAAAGAAAACCTAAAGTAAAGAAGTCATTATGTCCCAATGAAAGAGGAAAAATCTATAGTAAAGATGTCACTACGTGCCAATGGGAAAGAAAACCTATAGTAAAGAAGTAATTATGTCCCAATGAAAGAGGAAAAATCTATAGTAAAGATGTCACTACGTGCCAATGGGAAAGAAAACCTATAGTAAAGAAGTAATTATGTCCCAATGAAAGAGGAAAAATCTATAGTAAAGATGTTATGTGCCAATGGGAAAGAAAACCTAAAGTAAAGAAGTCATTATGTCCCAATGAAAGAGGAAAAATCTATAGTAAAGATGTCACTACGTGCCAATGGGAAAGAAAACCTATAGTAAAGAAGTCATTATGTCCCAGTGAAGAAGATTAAAAGGTATATTAAAGAAGCAATTATGTCCCAATGAAGGAACTATATATCATTAACTGGATGAATCAATTACAACTTTAAAAAAGATCTAGTTACAGAACACTAAACCTGGAAAATAACAGTCAGGGAGAAATACAAAAAGGAAATATTAATAAATAGATCTAAGTGGGTAGGACCTATAGAGCATAGTAATCAAGCGTAAACACTGAAATGAAGTGTGGGCAGAAGGAGAAATTTATTGATTTAGTTGCCAGGCCTCATTTTTGGAGGAGAAAAAATAAGATTTCGCTTAGACTTGTTTATGTTTTTGTTAAAGGTTAAAGTTGAGAGAACCGACTTTAGAACACAGCGTTTTATCCCACATGACTCAAGTCTCTCTCTTCCCAGAATGGCTAGCTGCCTGCAGAGAACGTACCATGAACATAGTAGCTCCAGAGATAATGCCCAAGGGCCTCCGTTAAAAAACTGCACACAGATAACTATAACACCCAACAGCTGTTCAAACAACCACTGGCTGCACACAACTATATCACCCAACAGCTGTTCAAACAACCACTGGCTGCACACACATAGCTATACTCATTCTAACTGCAAACAAACAAAACACAAACAGTATCTGGTTAGAGCAAATACCCTGGTTTGAGCTCCTTGGCAGCCAAATTCCTTATGAGAACCTTCTCCATCTCCTCATCCTCCTCTATCAACACATGGTGGTGGCCGTGGCTCCTCACTGGAGTGTGTCGGTGGATGTGTCCGTGTATGGCCTGCCACTCCTCATCACTCAGGCTGCTGTTGTGCTTTTCTTCCACCTGGCCATGCGCAGATCTCTGTGGAGCAAAAAACACTCAATGTACCAGTAACCGATTATAGAAAATCTTCTTCACCGGTTCCAAACTCTTGACAAATGGTTCTCGTTGCTTACCCCTTTTGAGACTTTGGTCTTGTTCCAGACCTGAGTTTGGCGTGCACATCCATTTTACAATTATAGCTTATTTGTAGGCAGACTGTTGTTACTCACCTCTCAGGCAAGTGAATGACTTTAAGGGAAACACCCCTTCCTTAGATGGCTTTTATGACATGCTTGTTGGGGGGAGAGTGTCGATTCCTTTTCCCATCAAAATGGGGTTCCAAAACCCAAACGGAAAGATTACAGGATAGGATGTTTAGTTCAAACCAAAGGTGCACCATCTCTGCCCCAGCAGCAAATATGATGCTTTGGTCATACAGCTCTGCCTTAGACATGTTAAACATTTCAGAATGCTATGGAAATTATCTGGAAAGGAGAGGTGGTGAGGAAAGCAACTGGTCACCCATATCATAACAGAGTGAGGCAAAGCCTGACGTTTCAAGCAGCACCTTCCACACAATCAAGCAGCACCTACCACACAATCAAGCAGCACCTACCACACAATCAAGCAGCACCTACCACACAATCAAGCAGCTCCTACCATCCCCAATCAAGCAGCACCTACCACACAATCAAGCAGCACCTACCACACAATCAAGCAGCACCTACCACACAATCATCTTTACCTTTTAAAAATTAACCAAAAGTAATCAACAATAAGACCCATGATGTATGCAGTTTTTAGATGTGTTCACGGCTGGCTTCTAATCTAGTTTGAGGACATACATATTTAATTTATATGTTAAAAAATAAGGCTACAATTCAGTGTCTATCCATATTTGAAGTCCAGCAAATGTTTGGTCACCAACAGTCAGTTTTTAGAGTCTGACAATGGTCTGCTCACTAACAGTCAATTTTTTTTTTTTTTAGTATAGCAAAAATTTGATTACTAATAGTTCATTTTTAGAGTCTATCAATGGGCAATTTTAAGTCTGACAATGGTCTGCTTACTAATAGTCCTTTTTTTTTTTAGTATAGCGGATCTGATTTTTAATAGTTCATTTTTAGAGTCTATCAATGGTCAATTTTAAGTCTGACAATGGTCTGCTCACTAATAGTCAATTTTTTTTAAGTATAGCAATGGTTATAGCAAAGGTTTGATTTCTTAAAGTTCATTTTTAGAGTCTATCAATGGTCAATTTTGAGTCTGACAATGGTCTGCTCACTAATAGTCAATTTTTTTTAGTATAGCAATGGTTTGATTACTAATAGTTCATTTTTAGAGTCTATCAATGGTCAATTTTAAGTCTGACAATGGACTGCTTAATAATAGTCAATTTTTTTTTAGTATAGCAATGGTTTGATTACTAATAGTTCATTTTTAGAGTCTATCAATGGTCAATTTTAAGTCTGACAATGGTCTGCTCACTAATAGTCAATTTTGAGAGTCTGACAACAGTAGCGTCATTGACAGTCAATTTGTAGAGGCAGACAATGGTATTGTCATCAAAAGTCAATGTTCAAAGTCCAATTATAATGTGGTGGCTAGCATTCATAAATATATGAACTTATTTGAATTTTTAAAAACAATAATTCCTCAATTACCTTGGTAGGCAGAATTTCTTTCCCTTCTTCCATCTCCTCTTCTTCCTCATCTTCATCATCATCTTCTTCCTCGTCATCCTCTTCAACCTCGTGCACCTCAACCAGTGACTGCTCCTCTGCGCCAGCGGCCATCAACTGTCGAGTCAGCCTCTGCCGTCGGATCACCTTCTCTGCTTCCAGCTGCAACTGCCTTTCTCGTTCCTTGTTGTGGTGTCGGTGCTGGTGAGGTCCTTCACTGCCTTCATCATTATCCGAACTCACCTCCTCATCTTCATCTTCCTCCTCTTCCTCGTCGTCTTCTTCATCATCTGTTGCTGTTTCTTGTATAGCATTTGCATTCTGAGCAGCCAGCGCCGCCCCCATCAGAGCATTCACCTCCAATCCCCCAACATCTTTCCGAACTAATCCTTCAGGTCTCCGGCCTACTCGACCCCGGACAGATCTCCTCAAGGGAATACCCTCCTTGTTCACCACGACGTCAGCTCCCCCGTCATCTTCGCTGGATTCCCCTCCATCGTCAAAGTTGTCAGGCCTCTGCTGGACATTTTTGGCCATGACACTCTGCACCACGGCCCTCAGCCTCGGGTTGTCTTCCTCTTCGTCCTCCTCATAACTCAACTCTGACTGACCTGCAAACAATCAACAATCATTTTAATAAAATAAACCCATAAATAATTACTGACTTTTTACCCCACCAGGACATCACACTAAGCAATAAATACTTGGTGACACAAAGTGTCATCATTCGGATGAGGATAACCTGGAGAGGTCTTGGAAACCCTGTTTAACCATTAGGTTATATTAGGGACCAGGATGGGACTTCAAAGTAATGAAAAAAGCCCCATATGGGGATGGAGATTAAAACCAGTTACAAAAAATACAATAATAACCATTTATAGCTGCTGTAGAGTAGTGACTGTACAAAGGTTGTAGGTTAGACATTTGCCTGTACAAAGGTTGTAGGTTCGTATCTGCATTGTAGCAGATTATTTAAAAACTGACAGGGTTCTCAGGTTCGAAACAGCTTAAAATGGGTACAAGGTAATGTCCTGCAAAGTAAACGTGGCCGGCGTGATGTTGACCAAATCACCCAGCGAGTGATGATTAGTCTTTAAAAATATGAGTAGCATCATATGCCCGACATGTTACCAGAGTTGGTGGAAAAGTCCTTTATTTGATTATATTTTGCTGATCTCTGCATTAATACAGAGATATCAAAACTGAATGAAACACAAAATATCTTTCCAATCATGGTGTTATATTCATCTCTGACTTCACCGGTGACCTGTGGAGTGTAATAAGAGACTATGTGATGATCTCTTTACTTTAGTTGAAAGCAATCATGAAAGCATGAGATTAAAAGAAGAGTTGGTGAGAGGGAGTAAGATATGAGGGTTTTTAAATATAAATATATCTCTGTGTGTGCGCATGCGTGTGTGTGTGCATGTGTGAGAGAGAGAGACAGAGAGAGAGAGACAGAGAGAGAGAGACAGACAGAGAGAGAGAGACAGAGAGAGAGAGAGAGAGAGACAGAGAGAGAGAGAGAGAGAGAGAGAGAGAGAGAGACGAGAGAGAGAGAGAGAGAGAGACAGAGAGAGAGAGACAGAGAGAGACAGAGAGAGAGAGAGAGAGAGAGAGAGAGAGAGAGAGAGAGAGAGAGAGAGAGAGAGAGAGAGAGAGAGAGAGAGAGAGACCGACAGACAGAGAGAGACAGAGAGAGAGAGAGACAGAGAGAGACAGAGAGAGAATGAGTAATGAACATGGATGTAAAGGAGAATGACCAAACAAACTGAATTTTCAGGATGATTGAACAAACTCTCAGTCACAAATATGGCATGCCGGCCAGTCTTATATTCAGCCTTTCCAAACACTCACCTTTCAAACAAGACGATGAAGAGAGAGAATAACTAAGTCAATGAGTGAGAAAGGTTAAAATCTAGACAAGAGAGGAGAAAAAAGAAAATAAGAAAGATAATAAACACAGATATCTGTAAATTCAGATACGTGAAGAAAAACCCTCTACTTTTTCACGTCCTCTTTTAACACTTCGGGTGTCGAGGGAGATATAAGGTCCTGCTTCGTGCTCTTCTGGCTGCTTTAACCATAGACACATCATGGTGCTATAGAGTTTCTCTGATGCTATCCACCCATATTCTTCTTGGTCTACCTCTTGCTCTACATTTGAAGTATCAAAGGTGAAAAGAAAACAATGGAATGCAAGCACAGAGTGAGAAAACACAAAATGTCTGACCTTCCATCGAACTGTCGGAGCCCCCACCATCGTGATGCAGACTCATGTGCTGCTGTCGCTGTCCTTGATGATGATGGTGGTGGTGAGGATGATGATGATGTACATGCTGCTGGTGATGGTGGTGGTGATGATGCTGGGGTAGCGGATGATGCGACTGTGGCAGGTGATGGATGGTGTGGCGCGGGATACACCCAGAACAGCAGTGGTTCTCCTCGGGACTTAGCGCCCCGACCACTTCATCACAAACGGAAGCCATGTGTAGGTCAGTCAGTCTCTGGAATAAATTCAAATACTACAATTTTAACGAGGCAATCACGTTTATAGTTCCGTCTTTAGTAAGTCAGTATTCAAGAAAGGTTAATATGCTGTGAACCAAGTTCTAATTTCTAGTTTTGATTCTTGCGCAAATCTACTTTCCTGGAAAGGTAGATACAGTAAAAGTCCCCCTGTGGGTTCAATGGCCTCATTGTGGGAAAAACAAGAATAGGCCTCCTTATATAGCGTCGATTATTTGGGGATTTCCTTCAAAGTCGGAGTACCTGAGGAGAAAGAAACCTACACTCTGCATACCAATCTCAGGTCTGTAAATGGATGTGCAGACAACACACAGGTTCTGGAAAAAGACTAAAGTTCAGAGGTGGACGATTAACCAAAACTTCCCACCAGGGTTTAAAGCCAGTGAACACGAAGAAGAAGAAGACAGAAGGAGAAGTGTCAATGGCAAGGGAAACAAAATAATAAGTACTTGATAATAACAACCTGTTTCTACATCTAAAGGCATTTGGTAATAACACATTTTTAACAGTCTTCCTTCGTCTGAGAGGCGAAGAACTAACTGTATACAAATAAGTCCTATGGATGTGCACGGAAACACAATTTTGGGGAAAAAGACATATCAGAAGTGGACAAACAACTAGAGATTTCCGCCATTTTGCATCCAGTAAATAAGAAAAAAAGAGCTCTATAAGGATCAAGAGTGAGAGAAAATAACCTTTCTTGATTACTTATGACTCATATATAAAACACAGACATTACAATTATCAATATTTACTCTACACAGTACTCTTCATGAAAAGTGACTTGCGGTCAAAATGGACGCTAGGCACGGCCACTGTTTAGAGTCGTGTCAAAGTTTTTGCTTCTGCCAGATGGTGGCCGTTGCAGTTTTGCTATATTTGTAGACTGAAAGGATATAGTTTTGTCGCCCAGCTACTAAGCAGAGTGCATGGTGCGACCCTGTGAGCTGCGGATTTCATATAAAATGTTTCTCGACTGTGACCAACGTGGTGTTTTGTTGTGAATTGTAGATTCAGAAAATGGTGCGTGGCCTGTCATCGCAATATTGGTGGTGCCCTTATGTGTTTAAAATTGATTGTGTGTGCAACTGCTAATTTGTTCCCTCTGCTACCGTTGATGATGAACTGCATCTCTAATGTCGGACTGTTTGTGTTATCACTTCTGTTGTCTACAGTATGCTTTTAATGCGTGTGTGTGCTAGTGCATGTGAGCATGTGCTGAGACAGCAGTCTGTCAATCTTTCCACAAGGGAGTGTGATAAACTTTCTATGAGTTTTTAGTTGGCACAGGAGCTGAGCAACTATGGGGTGACCCGTTTGCTATGAAGCTAAAACTAACATTACATTACGGTACTCTTCTTACACGGCCAGCTCCAGATATAAATCTATACAGCTAAAACGGGTATTCCTTTTTCTGTGAGGCTGGTGTGGCCGGTGGTAACAATTGTTATCGAGCAGATTTATACACAAATTCAACGAGTTTCATTAATTTGAAACCTGTGTTATTGAATGAATTATTATTTTGAGGATAAATAAAATGTGCTATTAGAAAATATTTTTCTTCAAAATGTTAATTTATTTAATGAAACATGTTGCAAATTAATTTAACTGTAGTTAAATTTGTGTATAAATCTACTCGATAACAATTGTAACCACTGAACAGGTTTCCCATCGTGGTCGGGCCGAACAGTATTTGGGTCTTTCTGCTTTCATTGCATCAACACTGCACGAGTCTTTTTCAGGGCTTTTAGTGGCATGCAGTGCTAAGCCATTTTATATGGCTCACATAAACTAGTCACAATTATAACCAAATCCCCCCTTCAGGGATGTTGGTTGAACGTGACAAATTTTTGTTTAGCAAAGCAGTCAAAGCAGATAAGTGTTGTGTGCTTTCTGCATGTACTATTTTATATATTTAAATTTTTTGGTTTAAGTGCACATAGCTGTAAGTTGCAGAAAAATTTGTCGGCACAACATTCTGCAAGCCCATCATTTTTTTTCATTTAAAACATTAATTTTCTCAAAATTCAGCACACTATATAAGTATTTTAGTTTTGTTTAGCATATATCGTCCCAGGTAGTTAATGTCCTTTGGATATTTTGGAACAGGACTAGAGCCCATAAGCGGATGAGCAACCAGAACTTTTCACCCAAGTTTACAGTCGGTGAACACAGAAGAAGAGAAGAAGTAAGGGAAGCTGTGAAAAGTGCAGAGGCTCAAACAGATCATTATGATGTGAAAAGTGCAGAGGCTTAAACAGATCATTATGATGTGAAAAGTGCAGAGGCTTAAACAGATCATTATGATGTGAAAAGTGCAGAGGCTCAAACAGATCATTATGATGTGAAAAGTGCAGAGGCTCAAACAGATCATTATGATGTGAAAAGTGCAGAGGCTCAAACAGATCATTATGATGTGAAAAGTGCAGAGGCTTAAACAGATCATTATGATGTGAAAAGTGCAGAGGCTTAAACAGATCATTATGATGTGAAAAGAATGGTGCTGCAAGAAGTTAGACCGGAATCTGGAGGATATTCAACACTCAAGTGAAAGGACCGACGGATATACAATCAGACTGTTACTAGTATTATGTGAATCTGAACTCTTGCTTGCTGCTAAAGATGGTGGATGGGGGGGACCGCTTATGAGAATGTTCTGAAAGCCATGCCGTTGATTCTGAATTCTACATTCTACATTTAATAAATAATTATAATCACAGCTACTGAAAACCTACTGCTAATTTTAGTCACAAATTATGTTTCGGCTAAATTATCAGAATAAGTATTAAAAAAAGGTCACCCGTTGAATCTTGGTTGGGGGTGGGGCTCCTTCCTCTTCTGACTCACTGTCACTGCTGCTCATGTGGTCAGTGGCTGCTTTCACGGCTCCTGTTGTGACAGTTCATCATAATATGACAGTGGGACAAAACTTTAATATAAATAGACGATATCATGTGACAACAGGCCATAAAATTAGAAGTCAATGGACGACAAAATGTAACAACAGGACATACACATTTTATGTCAGTGTCACATAATGTGACAGCAGGACATAAACTTCAATTTCAAGGGATGACATAAAGTGACAAGAGCATGAAATTAAATGACAATGGATGACATAAAGTGACAACAGGGCATAAACTTCCATGACAATGGATGATCTTTGTAGGGTTATGATCACATTGGGACCGGAGTGCAAAGAGTGGCCAGCAGGTGCTATGGAGGTGGAAGGTAATTCACGACAATTCTTGCATAGATGGTTCGATTTTAGGAGGAAGAGAAATACCTGGGGGTTTGTAGCAAAAGCCAATGGAAAATCTTTAATACAGGACAGCCTAGCAGATGATACCATGACACCTAACATGAGAATGGAGGTGGAGGCAGTCACTGCAGCATGCCAATGGCTAGAGAACAAGGTATGTACACATGTCATAATTGTAAAGGACTCTGAAAGCATGCTGAAAAAAAGGTGGAGACAGGATTGCTTCAAGAAGAGTGGCAAGCTTCACTGGCAAAGTCACTGGTAGTTAACATACTTTAGATCTTTTCTCTAGATCATGCCGGCGCAGTGGGAAATGAACAGTCAGACAGATTGGCTGAATCTGCACCACTGGGTGGTGAATTGATACATGACAAGGCAGATGTGGTCAGAGCCCTCTGGGAACAAGTAACAGAGTCAGAAGCGAAACAAGATTATTATGGGCTGGACAGAATGAGGCACCTTGGTGTAACCAGAGGGTCTTACTGGCTTACTACACTCAAGAAAAGGCAAGACAGACATCTAACCAGATTAAAACTGATACCATTAGTATTGGAACTTTGCGCTGGCTGCTGAAGATGAAGACGGAGCACACAAGGGAATACCCCGAGTGCTGTGATGTCAATTCCTGACTCAACACTCAACTGTCAATAAATGACATAAAGTGACAACGGGGCATCAACTTCAATGTATGACGAAAAGTGACATAAGGGCATAAAATTAAATGACAATGGATGACATAAGAGGACACCAGGGCATACACTTCAATGACAATGGATGAAATAAAGTGACAACAGGGCATCAACTTCAATGACAATGGATGATATTATGTGATAATAGGGCATAACCTTAAGTTTAAGTTACATAGGGGACATAGGAATTTTAGAAAGGTTTAGATGGGTCACAGCACACAAAATGTTGGGCAGTAACATGAATCAGCTAAAGTAACAATGTTCTGGACAAGAATAAATTAAATAATATCTGCCTTGTACAAAGAGAGTTAAAGTTGTACAAAGTGAGAGATTTACTTCTGGTCCCTGCCAGGGCGACAGTCTCCGTCAGCTTGCGCCTCTGACTTTCTTCTGCTTGAAACGTCTGCCACTGGCTTCGAGTTAGGATTGACGACAAACACAGAACCTGCGGGAACAAAGTGTGCATTAATGAATCTGTATTTAAAGAAAGACGATGACAGCAGAAACGGGAGGGAGTGAGGAAGGAGACAGAAAGAGAAGGGGCGGGACGTTTAGAGTTAGTAGTCAAGAGAAAGAGAGAGAGAGAGAGAGAGAGAGAGAGAGAGAGAGAGAGAGAGAGAGAGAGAGAGAGAGAGAGGGGGGGAGGAGACAGAGATACATAACAATAAAGAGAACAGATGCAGTAAGCAACTTAAGTAAGGTAAAAGTAAAGATCCTTTTTTCACGCCTTTCGGTGCAACGGCCATTGGGGAAAAACATCCCATATTTTTACAAATTGGTACTAGATGGGTAATGTGGTCAGCTTTAACGCCGGCTGCCTTTACTTCCCCAGGACATACACCCTGGTACCCATTTTAGACTGGGTCGACCTGCAATACCCCATATCATGATACAAATCCACGCAGCCAGCAGTGGGTTTTGATATCGGTGCATTGGAATTACGGCTCGGACTTGCAACGCTTAAGCCACAGATGCCGCTAGTAAGCAAGATACATAATAATAATTGGAGAGAGGGCAGCAGTTAGTAGTATAAAGGGAAACATGTGGAGAAAGGTAAGAAGAAAACGAAGAAACAAATAAGAAAGCAATAGGGTAAGATACAAAAACAAAAATGGGGGGGGGGGGGTTGTAGTAGAGTTTGCTGCCCTGAGAAGCCATAAAACTAACACTTCTGACCGGATCTAAACTCCCATAAATGTTGCGTTGCCAACTTGCTATGGTAGCCTAGTAATTGCTATTAGTTATGTCTGTACCTGAGCAGTGTTGAGGTGATATATTCACTAAAAATACCATTTAAGCTTTGCCTTCTTTGTGTGTGTGTGAACCGAATAGCTATTTAAAGAGATTCTGGCGTCATAATGTCCACTGTAACCTTAGTGATGGGGGGAGGGAGGGGGGAAATGTACATAAATATATTTGTTTAAAAGGGTTAGCGATCTCGGTCAACAGTTATTTTTGTAGGGATTTTTGAGGGAATTTCTGCTGGATCCTGATTTCTTTATAGTTTTCGGGCGGTGTTATAACACATAATACAGGTACTCTCTACACGAACTGTGTATACTTACAGATTCGTTGTAGCATGCTGGGTCCAGTTTATCAATGAGATGTCTCAGGTGCTGGTTCTGCTCTGGCTCCACAGATTTGATGAGAGGCAGCAGAACTTCATACACCTGCTTCCCACAATGCTTCAGCTGGCAAAGCAACAAAGGAGAAAACATCCAATAATTCAGTATCAAGCAACTCAGTTTCTTTTTTTTAAATCTGTTTTATTTTGAAAACTGCTTTCTAGTTAAATAATAATTTTATGATCTCAAGTGCCGAGGTTCATTTCCTGATGTGGACAGCTCTAGAAAAAATAGCTCTCATGGTTTTTTAGACAATGGTTTGAGAGTCACGCTGTGGAACAGATTGGGGCTTCACCAAGTAATTAATATTTCCAAAGACAACAGCGTTATACTGTAGCCAACCTTTTACTGTGGAGACGGCACAGACATTTTATTGAAGCTGAAGTTGGGTCCCAAAAGTGTCCATACACAGGACAAATAAATAGATCACCAACCCAATTACCAGCTGTGCTTATACGTGTTCTTCAGCAGAGGAGGGCACGCATCAAAATGTGTTTTTAAAAACAATGGTAGTCACGTAATCACAATGGCATAACATATAAATGGTTTTCATTTTAACAAAAATAAATTTTTTTTTGTACAGAAACTTATGGGACACTGGTTATCTTTCTAACTCCATGTGCCTCACTCAGTCTAATAAAATTAATTAATACTTTAAGGCAGTGGTTTCAATAAATTCAGGGGTACGTTATATCATTTACACACACACACATGTAACTGCAGAATGGAATCCCCCCTGTGTGAGTTCCAAGCCTCATTGTGTGAGGCAAACTAATAGAATACATTTTTCCATGGTGCCCTTACCTAAATAAAAGTATGACAATTCGTTTGTAAGTCATAAAAACTCGTCTTTCGAATATTTCGCGGCACCCCTGTTGATAGGTCGTGGCTTTCCGGGGGAGCTCCCCTGTGAGGTGCACAGTTTGGGAATCACTGAATTAGGGGTTTCCTTCTAAGTCAAGGAATCAACAGTCTGCAGGCATGCTCTTTAGAAGCAGCAGACAGATCTAGATCGAGGCCTGGCAAGTAAGCACCCCAGTGGAAACCAAGCTCTACATATCAGGGAAGAATACATGTCCCACCACAATCTTTATAGAGATCTGTGGACTTTTCTTTAAACCACTGGCAGGGCGAATGAAAAGAAAAAGAAGACTGCATTGAGTATTATCCCAAATTGCTTAGTGATTTAGTCTTTTTAATCCTGCTTTAAATGAGCTTCTAAATATTCTCAGTGTAAGAAAGAGCCCTTACCTGAGCAGCTCCCCAGATGACATCCAGGTTGGCGTTGGTTATCTTCCCCTCAGCTCCCAGAAAGTTCAAGATGATCTGGCTCTGTTTAATGATCTGGCAAATTCAAGATCAGAAATGTATACCCTTCTCTCTCTGAGTGTCTATATGTGTGTGCCTGAGTGTGGTGTGTACACGTAAGCATGTGTCTATATGTGTGTGCCTGAGTGTGATGTGTATGCGTAAGCATGTATCTGTGTCAGTGACTGCATGTGTAAGTACACATGTATGTGTGTGCCTGAGTGTGGTGTGTACACGTAAGCATGTGTCTATATGTGTGTGCCTGAGTGTGATGTGTATGCGTAAGCATGTATCTGTGTCAGTGACTGCATGTGTAAGTACACATGTATGAATGTGGTGTGTATGCGAAAGCAATGTATCTGCGTCAGTGACTGCATGTATAAGTACACATGTATGTGTGTGCCTGAGTGTGGTGTGTAAGCGTAAGCATGTATCTGCATCAGTGACTGCATGTGTAAGTACACATGTGTGTGCCTGAGCGTTGTGCGTAAGCATAAGCATGTGTCTGTCAGTGATTGCATGTGTAAGTGCACATGTGTGTGCCTGAGTGTGGTGTGTGTAAGCGTAAGCATGTGTCTGTGTCAGTGACTGTATGTGTAAGTACACATGTATGTGTGTGCCTGAGTGTAGTGTGTGCACGTGCATACATGTGATCGTATGGGTACATGTACAAGTGTACTTGTATTTGTGTGCACATAGATATTAACTCAAAACAGGCTGACACTGACCAGAGAAAAAGAAAACAAATGTAACTCAACAAAAGAATAAACCTTGATGGAAGATAAGAATCATCAAAGTAACATTAACAAATGGTGATAAAGTCAACAAAACCTCCTTCACTCTGTATTCATTCTATTTCTTCAGCATGGCTCTCTGTGGCACTTAGTACCAGGACAACCTTGTCAGATGGCCAAACCATTTTATCTGTTGTTCTTTAATGAACTGAATGACTGGTTTCAGTCATATTCTTTCATTTTAGTCTCTTCTCGTTACTCTGTTTTTTTTTTATTTTTGTTAACCCTTCACTCCTAGAATGTATATTGATACATGAGCATAACATGATAAATGTGGCTGAAGTGTGACAGATGAGTGTCTGAAATGGTTGAATGTAAGATAGGCCAGCGTGCTCAATGTGTGAGCCTTACAAAATAAAGCTGTGTTTCTCTGTTCATTTAAACAAAATGTTTGTTTGTTTGGAGGGTAGTCGCAGAAGCGGGTGCAAAGAACCTGGAATGACAACACCAAGAAATAGACGTAACTAATTATTATACATACCTTTTCAACAAACGGAAGATAGAGAGAAACATGGTAGGGTTTGTGTGCTAATGCTTCTAACAAAACACCTCCACTAAGCTAACAGGAAAAGGGATATCTTCTTCTTCTTCTTCGCGTTCACCAGCTGTACACTCTGGCGGAAAGTTCTGGTTGCTCGCCCACTACTGAACTGCAGTCCTGCTCCAGAACCTGAGTGTTGCATGTGCATCAGTTTTACAGATCTCATTCTCTTGAATACAGACTGTTGGTTGCTTGCCTCTCCGGCAGATGCACTCCGACTTCAAAGGAAGCTCCCTAATTAGTCCACTCTTACGACATGCTTTTGGGAAGGCAGTGGGTCTATTCTTGTTTTCCCCACAATGGGGCCCCCGAACATACATCAGGGGGTGGTGATGGTGGTGTTATGCAATTCGCTCGACAACTCTTCTAAGATACTTCATCATTGTTGTATTATGCCATCAATAGGTTGTAATTTAAAAAATTAAACAGATATGCTATTTTGTTCGTTCTTGGGTTCATTCTTTCAGATTACTGTTATATATGTGTGGGTACTGGGGGCTCATTCTGGGGGGACGGGGGGAATAACAGACAAACTGCTCCCCTAACAAGTGTGTCATAAAAGGTGACTAATTAGGGGTGTTTCCATCTAAACTGAGAGGCAAGGAACCATCAGTCTGTACACAAATAAGCTAATCCTGTGAGACTAATGTGCATGCAAAACTCTAGTCCTGGAACAAAACTAAATTCTAGAAGTGGATAAACAACCAGAGTTTACAGCCTGTGAATGCTAAGAAAAATAAGACAATATTTAATTTAACACCAACAAGATGTCTTCTCCATATTCCCGGTAACAACCACAGCAACATTAATAACAAACCTCAATATGTAAATTTGGTCCAAAAATCAGATCTATGATTTTGTGCTCTGTCAACCATTTGGCCATTTCCTCTCCAAAACTGTAAAAAACATGAAACATTTAGTCAGCCCAGCTCTAAACACGGCATGATATATGACAATCATTGTTCATTTTAGAGATCATCCTCACTGCACATGCCCATAAGTGCTCCGATCTCCTCCTGAGCATCTCTCCAAGTGCTCTAGGTTAACAATTCCCATTCTATATGACAATCAAACTTAGTTAATTGTATCTAAAAAAGGAACACATTAACACTTGCATTCTTCTTCAGTTTTCGAAGCCTTTGAGGTTCACAGCTGCAGGTTTCGTCTGCTTCATTCATTTCCGTGACTGACCTCTTTCCAGTTGACGACAACTAGAAAATGTAGGTCTGCCTGGATATCTTTCCACTATCCTCCTGGTTTGTGACTGCTCCATGCTTCAACCTCTCAGTCTGGAATTCCACGGGGTCTCTCTTTGTCTGTTCTTTACCCTTTGACTTCTCCAGCTTGGAAAGCCCTGCTTGTAGTTAGACTACTGCCAGTATAGTTCTCAAGGTTGTTAAGATCACAAGCTCCCTCGCCGCGGCAAGATGGAGACATCTTAACTTTTTCTTATATATGTTAAATCCATACACCCCCACCCCCGTGTGGGTTCCGGGGCCACGTGGTTGGAAAGGGGGAGGGAAATGGACCACTGCCTCCCTAACAAACATGACATATAAAAGTCTACCAATTAGAGATGTTCCCTTCATCCTCCAAAGTCAGAGTGTATCTACCTGAGAAGCTAGAAACTAACAGTGTGTACACAAATGAGCCGGAGGTATACACTAAACTCAGCTTCTTCTGGAACAAGAACAATGTTTAGAAGAAGTGGACAGACAACTGCAAACTTGCTGCCAGAGTTTAAAGCCAGTCAAGGCAAAGAGGAAGAAATCCACAAAGGGAGGCAGAGGTACAGCAACAGAACCAGGGCTGACACTGGTCAAGCCCTGGGGCACACAAGTATAACATGAACTGTGTGTGGTCAATAACTGAATAAGGTACTGTTAACATTATGTATTCCAAAAGACAAGAAAAAGGGAGAAGTTGGGGTGAGAAACAGACATGCAGGTATCAAGAAATGGGGGAGGAGAGAAGGAAAAGAGAGAATAAAAGAACTTAGTAACACATTTTACCAAGTTTACAGGTTTGTCGCAAATCTTCCCATCTTATCTCTCCTTTCAAACATTTCATTCATACATCTTAAACAATAATAATATATACAATGCACAAAACGCGGAGTGTCTAAAAATCAATACATAACAGACATATACGTTCAACTATTATGTAAACTTTTATACAGGGAAAATACAGAACAGGATAGATATGAGCACAGTATACAAGGATTTGAAAAAAAAAGGACAGCATAGGACATGACCACATAACTAACCTTTCAACATCTGCCATTGATTCATTGCTGATATTATCATTGTAGGTGTTAATCATCGTCTGTGAACACAGAAAAATTAAAAAAGAATCAGTAGTTAAGTAAAGGAACCCTTTTCACGCCTGTTAGTCGTATTGGGTATAAAGGGCTGGACCTATATTTTATAGACCAAACGGCACTTGGTGGGTGATGTGGTCACCATCACGCTGGCCGCCTTTACTTCCATGGACTGTAACTGGTACCCACTCAACACTGGGTCAACCCGGGAGCCAAGGTCATTTTTGAATAAAGTCCAGCACCAGTCAAGACTTGAACCCACGATTTTCCGATCCGCAAGTGAGCGTCACTAGATCACAGCAGCTTCGATCAGTGGTTACACACAGAAAAAAATAAGTTATTTTAATAGTTTCCTGTGCGTGTTCCGCAGCGCACATGTTTGTATGTGTGTGTGTGAAAGGGGTGGGGGTGTCTATCTTCTGTCTCCCCCAAAAGCATGCAGCGAAAAGTGACTAATTGTGGTTTTGCTGAAGTGGATTTGTTGGGCTGAAATATGTAGATATCGCAGCCTAGATGTAAACCACAATACAGTGTACAACTACCCTTTTGAGGGAAACACAAAAGTAGACACTGATGGTTGGATATGCTACTATATATAAAATGTGTCAATGTAAAGTAACTTAACTTTTCTGCCAGTTTAACACCTCCATAATGATGCTACACACACTGTAGCGCCTCCTTCCACAGCTTTGAAGATCATATAGGGAAATATTCTATGACCCGTAAAATTTGCTTTCATATCTAATGGGCCTTCTTAGGAAACAGGAACAAATACTCACACTAATCTGGCAGATGCCTCCGAGACGATAAAAATGGTCAATGTGGAAGCTGTCAGACATTTGTACACCAAGGCCATGACTTCCCGGTCAAAGGTCATCTGCGAGTCCATGGGTTCTTTAATAGCCTGCCACATGAGCTCCATGGTATTGTGAGCTGCTGCTGCCCTCATGTCTGCCTCCGATAATGTGCACATGTAGCGGATGATGGGCGAGCGCAGCGGGAGAATGCATGACATGATGGTTGGCGTGTTGACCCACATTCGTAGCTGGAAAGAGAGACACCCAATATATTTTTAACCATTTATGCCATAAATCTGGGCATGCACCAACCTTAAATTGGTACCAGTAAAGTCCTTGGCAGTAAATAAAGATGGCGGGCGAGATGCTGACTGCATCACCAAAAGAGGGCCGATGGGTCTAAAAATGTATTAGTTTGCCTGATGCGCTCCGGGCATGCAATGGACTTTTTCACTATGGGTGTGTACACATTGGTAAATGTTTGTGTGGGTGTATGTATACACAGAAGACGTCACAGGAAGAATACCGTTAGCAAAAGAAAGGGGAAATAAAGAGGATGACAAACAAGGACACAAGTGAGAAGAGAGAGAGGGATATAAAGGTGTCAGAGAATTGTAATATTAATCTGATACAACTTGACAGAAGATACAGATCTCAAACATGGAAACAAGAACACAATGAAGACAAGGTATTAGCTATCCTGTATGCTGCATTTTGCAGGCAAGGTAGCACTGACACATTGCTGTTCATCTATCCTGTGATGGTATTTGCTCAACCTGTATCACTGTCAACCCATTGCTGACAAACTGTATGGTTTTTTAAAAGAGTCTGTGTTGTTTTTATCATAATCATCAAGAGCATTACCGGCTGGCCTAAGGAATCACGCCTTTCCACAATCTGTGATCTTCAGCAACATGTATCAGTTTGTGTGCTGTCACCTCTCTATACCATGAAAAAAGTGTCAAGAATCTTCACAGATCTTTCCAGTGGTCTTATTTTTTAATTTGACAATAACAGTATGTTTTGTGTTTTTTATTTTTTAAATTCATTTCTTACAACTTTTGATTCCTTCCTATTAGAACCTCTGTTTTACTGGGCTTTTTGCCACTCCATAATATAACATATTCATTTATATATATTCTTCTTCTTCTTTCGTTCGCATGAAATAAATTGTCTATATCTGCAAAGCTGCCTCTAGTATGAATTTCACTGTCTTTTGTAATTCACTAAGCGGCCCGTAAAGTTTGACTTCCACAAGTGTCTCTTTTGGCCAAAGGTTTTGCCTGAAAGCGTTGAATCTGGGAGTCTTGAAGGATTGATCTGTTGTTTCATGGTGCCAGTCCACAGTACAACAGGCTTGATTGTTTCAGGTCGCCAGTCCCACAAGTACAACATGGCTGATTGGCCAATTTAAATTTGTTGTACATGTGGGAGCGACCAGTCAATTGTGCCCTGTTCTAAGGCGAAGGGATAATGCTTGCTCTGGTCTGTCCATAATATGGTAATCATCTTGTGCCATGGCATTCTGATTGATTTGATCATCTTCCTGTGATGACTGGTATGTCATTTGTTCTTCAGTTGCCAACTTCCTTAGCTAGTTTATCAGCTAACTCATTTCCGGGAACCCAGGTATCCACTGCATTACTAATTTACAGCGGGTTGCCTAGGTTCGGATAATATGTTTCCAGTTTTGGTAAGACTGGGAGTGACTGAAGTACTGCTTTTGCATCTGTTTTATTACCCTGTGTTTAGTAGTTTTTAATCTGATGGCTTGAATCTGCAAGAGTTGTGACATCCCGTTTGTAATTTGGCTGATATCCCTGGTATTATTAGGATACTCAATGCGTAAGCACCTCCGTTTTCCCTGACTGCGCTTTCCACAATCTGTGTAAACACGGACCCACTGCGGGATTCATCATCAAACTGAGGGTGTATCAGTTTTGTTGTGCTGTCAAATCACTTCTCTGATGTGTATTGGAAACTTATACTCCTCTCTCCAGGGGGACAGCAATTTAAGGATCTATCAAGGTAAATCAGTGCACGAGCCGTTTGGCCTGGTGGATCTACTTCTCTTTGGTCTTATTTTGGAATATTTGTTTTGTGTATTTTTTTTTAATTCATTACTTACAACTTTTGATTCCTTCCTATTAGAATCTCTGTTTTACTGGGCTTTTTGCCCCATCCAGAAGTAGGTCTAACTCTCGGTTCATGTTATCAATCAAGTAGGTATATCCATCAAACTCCACTGTCCCATCAAGAAGTAGTACTCTGGTCTCTGTCATAGCAATAGGTCTCTGTGCCTCTCGGTCACTGTCCCATCAAAATAGGTCTTGTGTCACTGTCACTGTCCCCATCAAGCAAGTAGGTCTCTGTGCCTCTTGGTCACTGTCCCCATCAAGCAAGTAGGTCTCTGTGCCTCTTGGTCACTGTCCCCATCAAGCAAGTAGGTCTCTCGGTCACTGTCCCCATCAAGCAAGTAGCTCAGTGGTCACTGTCCCCATCAAGCCTGTGCCTCTCGGTCACTGTCCCCATCAACTAGGTGTGCCTCCCATCAAGCAAGTAGGTGCCTCTGTGCCTCTCGGTCACTGTCCCCATCAAGCAAGTAGGTCTCTGTGCCTCTCGGTCACTGTCCCCATCAAGCAAGTAGGTCTCTGTGCCTCTCGGTCACTGTCCCCATCAAGCAAGTAGGTCTCTGTGCCTCTTGGTCACTGTCCCCATCAAGCAAGTAGGTCCCTGTGCCTCTTGGTCACATTTCTACTTGCACAGGTTGCAACAGCACTATACTTCAGGACACAACAATGCATAAGTTTCTAACATTAAAAAACGGACATGATAATGGAGTCCATCTATTAAACTACAAATTCGTGCACAAAGTGTGAAATTCCTACCCTGCACAGTTTGTGGCGACTGCACTAGCCACGAGGCCCTAAAACCTCAGGCTAAGAATGACCCACAGTTCTATGCTGTAGTAAAATAAGGCAACCAAAGATAGCTTTTTTTTAAACAAAACATGCGAGGAAACTTCATTTACGTGGGTGATGATAGTGATCAGCGTGTGGGCAAAAATGAGCGGCAAGTTCTTGTTGTTGGCTTTCTCAAAACAGTGTCTCAGCGCCCCAACTCCGTTGCTGTCGATGAAGAAACAGATGTTCCGAAGAAGCAGGAGTGGGGCATCAATGTCCTAGACAGGGGTCAAGAGAAACAACATCATCATATTATCATCTTATCAAATAATCCTAAATTATTCTATAAAGGCTAGGTAAAATAACTGAGAACTGGAAGAGGTTTTTTTCAACAACAGATCAACATCATGGCACACGGGCAGTAACCCATAAGTGCTCCGTTCAATTTCTATTTCAAGTCTGAGTCCAGAGAAGATCAGCACAGTGCATAAGCTCTGTAGCACCAGCGAGGATCCTGAAATACTTTGGGTAGATTTTTTTTTTAACTCCAACCTTGTGTGCATAGGACATCTGTATCAGTGTCTCAAATATTTGTTGTCATTCCTCTCTTTGTCTCTCTCTCTCTCTCTCTCTCTCCTTATTTATATATATATATATAGGCATGTGTGCTGCACCAGCAAGTGTGCGGGTGGCAGGTAATGAGTGTATGTATATGTATATATGTGTGTGGGTTTAGATGGGTGTGTGTGTTTTGTCTTTACCACTGCACTTTTGGGTATGCATGCCGAATTTTAGTAATACAGTGAGATGGTATTTTGGCTATGGTACACCAGTAGCACACACATATCTTCTTGTAGGGAGTCGGCAGTCCGAAACCCAAGTTCAAGGTGTCTCCTTTGTGCCAAATAACTACATGGCTGTTGGGAGTAGTCGTTAATGAAGGCAGTCAGGTCGCTGTAGGGGCGACGTTTGCTGGTAGATGTAATATCCTATGTCCCTTCCCAAGCTAATAGTGAGGGTACTACTGGGGAGACAGTTTATAACCCTCACATAAACTATATACAAACATGAAATCATTTTGTTTTTACATAATCTTCGCGGGAGCTACAACGATTGTGATCCAAAATTGATACTCACAGCAAATGATGGTAGTAGCAGAAGAAGGAGAGGAAGAGGGAGAATGAGGAAGGAGAGAAAGAAAAGAGCTGGGAAGAGGAGAAGGACTAGAAGAAAAACAGACAGATTATCGTTTAAGTTCATTCATACTGGATATTGGAATTGTCGAAGCAACAAGCACACACACACACACTGCAGAAAATAGTGTATGACTTCGATATCCTCATGATCCAGGAGACCAGAATAAAAGATGACTCGAATCATTAAATGTCCATGATATGACTGCTACAGTGATCTGTGTGGAACACAAAACCAAGGTTTAGCAATGTATGTCAAGCATGGTGGACAGAGAAAACGTAACCCTTCTCAACCCTGCCGACAACAGCTTTGGTTATAACTGTGGTCTGGTTCTATTTGTGCCAAGTTCAATGGCTTACATTGTGCGTCAAGAGTTGTGACTTACTGTAATTGCACTCATGAACCAAGCGATGCAGTCCAGGAAACAAACGCCCAAGAAATTTGCCATGAGCGGTCACTAAAATGGGCTCTCATAAAGCAAACCAAGGATTGAATTGGCCGTGGGATTTTTTCCTATCAGGGGGACAAATAAAATCTGGCCAACAACACTAACTCATACTGCCATAAATTCTTAGGTTTAAGGACCCCCTGCGTACATGGCAAAAGTGGTGAACAAAGACAGTAAACGGCTCATTTTGTTGGGGGCATAAAGCCATTGCTCCAAAATCAACGTAAAGCAGACTGCTGTCAAATTGCCTGCAGGTGGAATCAAACCAGGTACCTTGGAACTAGAAAGGAGGTTTGCAACACACAGACCACAGGCAGCGACCACAGCATTTACAAGGAGAAAAGACACACAGCAACATTAACGGTGGATGTGTGCCAACTCACATTGATCTCACAGTAGTTATGTAAAGCTGTTGTCTCTGCGGAGGACAGTTCCTGAAAATTAAAAAGACATGCATACAATGTCAGCTGTACAGCAATCGCATCATGGATGTTCCATCTAAAAAAAAAAAAACTTCATCAACAAATGAAAAGAAATTAAACAAGTAACAACAACAAAATGGGACTGAAAAACCTAAAAACTACATACTATTTAGTGGAAGAAAAAAAGTATTCATAAATGTATGGTAGACACCCACATTTTCTTCTTCTTATGTTTATCAATTACCCAATGCAGTATATCAGGACTACTCAACTAAGTTCACTCAGAGGCCAATATACTGAAAAATGTGAATTGTTATGTTGTTGTTGTCGTTACTGATCCAGCGACGCATGAGCTTTCACCCTTTGGCCCAATGCCATGTAGTGGAATTTACATGTTTTCACAAGCTGTTCTTTTCCTCCATACAATGTGCTCCACCTGTCTGGTCTCAAAGGGAGTAGCATTCTTCTAGTCTCGAGTTTTAGGCACTCAAAGAGATGATGGTCAACAGTTTCGTAGGGGTAGTTACATAGCTGGCACTCTGGGGAGTGTTGTGGCTGTATTCTCAGTCTGAAGATGGTGACCTGGTCCCTTCTTGTTAAATGGGTGGATTGTCATGGCCCAGTTCCCCAGCAGAGAGAGACGATAATCCAACTGTCAATGATGCATGAACCACCTGCTAGGGTTCTGCAGGTCGGATCCGACCCATCAGTTGAATAGCCCTGGACTACAGGCTTTCAGTTTGTGCTCAACTGTCCTATACTCTGCTACTGCACTGCAACTGACATTTCTTGTCAGTAGTTGAGTACAGCTTGCACTTTACAATGGCTGCCTTTGCAAAGTGATTCTCCTTCTAGCCACTGCAAGGTATCTTGCATCAGGTTTTACAAATTTTCCAAGAAGTTTTACTGTTTCACTTACAGTTTACAGAGTTCAGGTAAGAAATGCTGAGCTCGCTAGAGCTGTTGACTAAACCATACTGCGCGGCGACTGGGTGACGAACTCCTTGTGGTTCAGGTTCACGCCCGGGGGTAGGCAGAAAAGCCACATTTCTCCCAGATTTATGGTATCAGTAATGAGGAATATTTTCACCCTGATTAGGAAGGTTGGGGGAAAAGCCCAAGGTTAACCCAAATACTGATTAAACGAGGTTTCCAAGATAGGTGATGACTACGAGTTATCACGTGAAATCCGATGATAGCGATGACAGGTCGCCACGCAGAAGTAAAGGACCACCACATGTTGCCACGTGAAACTAACCCGTAGTATAATAAGGACCCTAGTCCGCAACAAGTTAGTATGTCTTTTGGAGTAAAGGGCGGGAGACTGATTGAAAGAATGCCAACGAGAGACTGAGTGACGTCAAAGGAGAACCAGACGACGACGTCTGAAGACAAGACCAGCCAGGCCAGTCTGTATAATGTCAAGGAGATGAACCAAATACATATGTACAAACTCTGGTCAGTGACTGCGTGAGGAACCAGCATGTTGAAGTCTGTGTGATGTGGTGTGTGAAAGCTGTTAGTGTTAACATGTCAATAAACTGATGTATCGTATTGCTAAGTCGGTGTGGGCTTGTCCCAGTTATGTCAACGTAGAATGTGTGATAAGAGCATTCACGACACACATATCATCTTCTAGACAACGAGTGAATGTAACACGACTTATTGTAAGTGGGAGCTCGTACGGGGAATCATGGAATCAAGGCCGAAGTGTTGCGATATCCATAGTATCGAGCCAAAGGGTTTACAACTCATGCAATGCAGATAGAGCTGTGAACAAGATAAGGAGTATAATAAATCACTCTCATTAAACATTAAAAAAAAACAAGCATTGAAATGTTACATCGAGCCTGTTTTGTTGTATGGTAGTGAATCTTGGAATGTGAGCAAACAAATTAGGAATAGTTTATAGACAACTGAGATGTGGTTCTTGAGAAGAATGTTGCGAATACCTTTGACTGTCAGAATAACTAAAAATTATTGCCTGGAAATGGCTAATGAAAGAAGAACATTATATACAATAATGAGAAGGAGACAAAGTGATTTGGTCAGGTGATTAGAAAAGGAGTACTGGAAAATTTCATTGCGACTGGAAAGATCACTGGTAGACAAGCCAGAGGCAGACCAGGAGAAGAGCGGATGGCTCAAGACAGTGGCATAGAGGAATATCCTCAGCAGAACTGATCCCAAACACCAAAGACCGAGATCTGTGGAGATACATGAACACCTACGTCAGCTGGCAAGACACTTGATGATGATGAAACTTTGGAGGAAAGTTTTGGTTGCTTGTCCACTTCAAGACTTTGGTCTTGTCACAGAATTTGAGTTATACATGCTCTTCCATCTTCAAAGGAAACACCCTTAATCAGTCACCTTTTATGGAGGCAGTGTGTCTATTTTTCTGATCCCTTAAAATCATGACCAGGAACTATTAAGGAGAACAGGAAAGAGAGTTTAAAAGCACTTACCTCCATGTTGTGAGCAGTCATGACCTTATGAGCCATATACACAGCAAAATTGGACAGGAACAGATGAGTCTGGAAGTCCAGCATCCGCTTCAACTCCTCAATACTCCAGTCACTCCAAATACTTTCATCCTCAGGGTCTGAACCAAGCTCCTCTTTACTCCCCTCTTCCCCCGATTTACTCTCATCACTTGCTGACTCACTACTCCGCCTCGTGACCTCATCATCAACAGACGACTGAGGCTGGTTGCACTCTTTTCTCGCAGTTTCTTGAGCTTTGGCTTTCAGCTTTCGGGGAAGGATGTCAGGTAAGGACTGAATCAGCTCCATGCCCATACTGAGGACCACTTGGACGAGGTTGGTCAGCTTGTCAAAGTTCTTGAAGTCCTTGTACACACACAGGCACCTCCTGGAACTCAGAAATGAAGCACAGCTTAAGATTCAATCATTATTTCTCAACGAGAAGTTCAAAATTGTTTTTGTAAACAATTTACTGAATATATTCCTGAATTCCCCACTGACTGGAAGCTCCATGAAAATGGAATAGACTTCACACAAAAAGTCAAAGTAAAGAACCCTTTCCCTTCTACATCAGGCGTTTGGTGATGGAGCTGTTTAGGGCCCGCAGATGGGCACCTAGCCATTATGCTACCACGGCTCCGAAAGGTGCTGATTTATTATCAAATGTTTTAAATTTAATTCTTCAAGCTGCTTTTTTTTTGTTTGTTTTTTTTATGTGTTTTGTTTCTTATTTGTATCTGCCGAGAAAGACTTTCTGCTGTAACATCCTCTTTTTATTGTATTATTTATGTGCAAAGGTAAGCTACATGTCTTCCTAAAGTTTACTGTTAAGTTCCGGGCAGCCCATAATTTCATGCTGATCCAGTAAGTAAAGGACCCTTATAGGACTAGATGTTTATTTTCATAGATCAATCGGCACTTTCTGGGTACGTGGTTAGCAGAATGCTGGCCGTCTTGACTTCCCATGACATCCGGGATACCCATTCTAGACTGGCTTGACCCAGGAGCCAAGGTCAGCCCTGAAGGAAAAAATATGCATTGGATTTTAACCCTTGACCTGTGAGCATCTAGCCACTAGCACCAAAGTGGTTCCCTGCTGATTCAATAAGCCAGCATATGTTTCTAAACTTGCTAAACACAGGAAGCTAGGATATCCCCCACCAAGTTTACTGCCTAAATACAAATTAACTGGTCAAGTAATTCTCTTCCAGTAATTTTGTTTGAAACTATACTTTTCCATTTTCCTAGAGAATACCCTGAGTTTTGTGCAGATGATTTGTTCAATGAACTATTTTTACATCTCTCTCTTGTTAACACATCAACCTGACTATACAGTGAACAACTACTAAGTGCTTAGACATGACTATACAGTGAACAACTACTAAGTGCTTAGACATGACTATACAGTGAACAACTACTAAGTGCTTAAACACATGCCCCCAGCATTGTTTGCTGTCAGGTCAAAGTGAACTGATTTGTTTAATTAGCCTGTCTCTTCTAGGGCATTCAGTCATTCCACATGGTCCACTGCCAATGAATGAATTACCTCCACCCCCACCAGGAATGCATTACTAGTGATAAACACCTAGTGATACAAAGTGCCATCATTCGGATAAGGATAACCTGGTTACAAGTCATTGAAATCTTGTTCAACCGTTAGGTTACATAAGGGCCCCTGACTGATAACAAAAATTGCATCCCATATTTGGGTGCATTCAATAACCATTGCTAATCCAGCTTCATTTCTTGTCCTCACATGCACATAACTGATTTTTGTCCGCTCTGAACTCAGAGACTCCAGCGGATTTCTTTGTTTCTTGTTGAAAGGGCTGGCCAATTGTTATTGCTCTGATGTCTCGTGGGAGACTAGGGATTGACCCTCGACAGGAGGTAGTTTTTTTTGTTCTGCAACAGTTTGTGGTGACTGCACTAGTCAGGAAGCCTTAAATCCTCACACTCATGACCCCCCACACTGCCCTACAAGTTGTAAATCCAAGCAGCCTCTCTCTCTTCCTTTGTTTTCACCGTTGTAAATTCCAGCAGAAAGTTGTGATTCTTCATTCACTTCTGGTTTTTAATCTTGTTCTAGAACAAACGTTTTGCATGCACATCTGTTTCTCAGATCTGGTATACTTATATGCAGACTGCTCCTCACCTTTTAAGCAGATGCAGTCCGACCTGGAGGAAAAAATCTCTATTTAATCACCTGTTACATTATGCTTGTTAGGAAGGCAGTGGGTGTATTCTTTTTTGTTGTTGCTGAAAATGGGGCCCCAGAAAACACACGGGGAAATACATACAGACAGCAAAGACAGAGACTCCAGCTGCTGGCTTCTTACAACAAAGCTGCAACAAACAAAAACAGTGACAGATAAACACTGTTGAACACGGTAATTATCTCAAGCAACTCACTTATTGTTCCAAGAAAATGCATATCGAATGAGGGTTTCCACTTCACTCCTGCTAAGTTGGGACAGCCCACCAGAGACATGGCGACTATGATCTGAAAGAGAGATCAACGAAACATTTGTAGTCTGTTATGAAATGGACGAAAACACTTATCCACTAAAAGTTTATAGCTGACTGTGAAACATGGGGAAGACTGAGTTTCTTCATCTTCTTCTTAGCGTTTGCTGGCTGTAAACTTCAGCGGAAAGTTTTAGTTGCTCGTCCACTTCTGGACTTTGGTCCTGTGCCAGAACTTGAATTTTGTGTATATTTGTGTACACAACCATCTTCGAAGATCTGGTTTATTTGTATGCAGACTGATGGTTCCTTGCCTCTCAAGCAGATGCACTTTGACAAAAGGAAACACGCGTAACTTAACACCTTTGATGAGAAGTTAGAGAGCAGTGGGTCTATTCTTCCCCCCCCCCCCAAAATTGGGCTATGAAACCCACATGGGGAACCAGGGCTTTGACCCTGGCAATGTCTGAGATATGTACGCCATCCTCAGGGTGGCTGGTCAAAGTTCCCTCTAAAATGCTGAGCATCATGAGTCTTCTTATTCACTTCCTCTTTTACTGTTGAAGGTGTCCAAGGAGATATAAGGTTCTGCTTCTTGTTTTTCTTGTTGCCTCAAATACAGATACACTGCGCTGTTGATTATTTTCTCTGATGTTATCTTTCCATTTTGTTCTTGGTCAATTCCACGCTCTTCGTCCACTTCCTCTTTTACCGTTTCATTTTGTTCAGATTCCATTTTGTTCTTGGTCAACTCCACGCTCTTTGTCCACTTCCTCTTTTACCGTTTCATTTTGTTCAGATTCCATTTTGTTCTTGGTCAACTCCACGCTCTTCGTCCACTTCCTCTTTTACCGTTTCATTTTGTTCAGATTCCATTTTGTTCTTGGTCAACTCCACGCTCTTTGTCCACTTCCTCTTTTACCGTTTCATTTTGTTCAGATTCCATTTTGTTCTTGGTCAACTCCACGCTCTTCGTCCACTTCCTTCTTTAGCGTTTGCTTTGTTTGTTATGGCTTCACAACGCATTCTCTCTAGGTGGGCAAATCATTTGATTTAATGTCTTTGTTTGTTATGGCTTCACAACGCATTCTCTCTAGGTGGGCAAATCATTTGATTTAATGTCTTTGTATGTAACTTAAAATAAGTGCTCGAATCTCCTCCAAAAGAAATCTGGCAGCGTGTAGTATAGTGGCTCATGTTACCAGTTTTGTGTTGGTCTTTTATTCTTCTTTTGTATTCTGCAGAGTACTCTCATCTGACCTTCGCCCTCTTCACTTACTATTCTTGCAGTATGCTCATGATTGCAGGTTCACAGTTCTCACACACTTTTTACTTCTCACAGATAATTTAGTACATATATCAGCCTGGTACATGTCAAATCCACCTTTATGATTAACCTTATCTGCAAGACTATCAGCTTGTTAATTTCCTTTCACACCTGTATCCATGGCATGATTTTTGTCAGCTATGACCGCTTCACAGAGTAACTCCTCTCTTTGGACCCCCATCTCTACCTTCTTGAGCACACTCATTGAGTTACTGAGGAAACATGCCGGAGTGAAGGTCTGTGAATCCAGTGAGTTATTGCTTTAGTTACTGCCATAATCCTCTTAAGTTAGACTAGTTGTACTCAAGTTAAAAATCACTAGAATCATGCTTCAGTTCTCCAACCTGAACTGTAAAAGCTCATAAGCTTCTCAGAAACAGACCATCTGCACAAATGGCAGCATCGAAAGTAATAATTAAACAGGTTTGAGTTTTCTCCTGACATTTTGATCAAATAATTTTGACTTGTCCACTCAGAAGCACTGCAATATTTCTTTTTCTTCGTGTTCACCCGATGTAAACCCTAGCGGAAAGTTCTGGTTATTCGTTCAAGTCTAGACTTCGTATAGAACTGAAGCTTCGTGTGCACATCCATATTACAGATCTGGCCTTCTGACACCATACCATACAAGGCATACACTAAAGGAGGAAGTGGGCAAAGATCATGAGGCTGACTAAGAACAAGATGGGAAGAAAACAGAAATAATTTACAACAGCACAATCTCCAGTCTATGAAACTACCAGAATTGCAAACACTGCTGACACAACTCAGCGTTCAGCGAAGAGTCGTAATGCAGTGGATACCGTCTCATTGTGGAGTGCCTGGAAATGAGAAAGCTGATCAACTGGCAGGGGAAGGTGCGACAAAAGAGCAGCCAGATGTACCAGTCACATACCACCAAAAGAAAAGAATCATTAAATCGATCAGGAAACCACCAGCCCCAGCACAAGACGACTATTTTATTATGGACAGACCAGAACAAGTCATTATCCTCCGCCTCAGAACAGGGCACAACCGATTACGTAACCACATGTACACAAAATTCAAGATAGGTGTATCAGCCATGTGCATCTGTGGAAATGTGCCCCAGACTGCAGAGCATGTACTCCAGGACTGCACCGATTTTGACACATTAAGGCAAACCTTTTGGCCAGAAAGAACAACAGTGGAACGTAAACTCTATGGACCACTGAATGAACTAACAACGACAGTGAAATTTATACAAGAGACAAAACTGCTGATATAGATAACTTTTTTCAGGCCAACGAAAGAAGAAGAAGACAACAGCACAATGTGTCTATGTTCGAGGCAGCCAGAAGAACAAGAAGCAGAACCTTATATCTCTTTTGACACCTGAAACAGGGTTTCCGAGAATTGCATTGCAAATCTGGGGGGCTAAAAATAAATGGAAGGAAACACCTCACTACCAAAACAGTAAATCTCAGCCGCTGGTCCATATGTGTTGAAAAGAATTATGATCTGGCTACATCATAAATACTAATATGTCTCTCCACAGATGCCAAGATTTTATCTTGGGAGAAGTAATGTCTACCACTTATTAACGGCACAAGATTTTAGCCGTCTTAAATAAATGCATACCAAACAATTTTGGGGGGGGGGGGGGGGGGGGGGGGGGGGAGGAAGCGGAAAAAGTAAAAAACAGTTATGCCTAAAACACAAAATACGTCAGCTGTCCCATTCTATAATGTATCATTCAGTTTCGGATGAAAGAACAGTTCAATCGGAACCAGTTATTATCTTTAATATCATGATCATGACTGCCATTGTGACCAGACCAAACCCCAACAACAACAGGCAAATATTAGTGTAACTATCATATACATTAGTAATGACATAAGAAAGGAGCAAGTATGGGGAAACCCAACAGCAGGGAAGTTGAAACCTCGACCAAGAAGACTACTATCCTATTCAAACAATAAATACATTTTAAAAATATCTAAGTCTTGGATCATCAATGGATGATACAGATGCCAGAATACTGAGAAAAGGATTCGAATTTGGTTTCGCTATCTCAATTCTAAATTCTTTATATTAAAAAAAAAAATAACACTATATTATAAATATATATTTTAAAAATTTAAAATATTCAAATAAAAATTACAAAACTGAAAATAAGTTTCACTCCGCCGGGACACTGGAACGTTAGTGTAACAGTGAGTAACACTGAAGTAGAAACCAAACATACCCAATATTACATAATATTCGTTAAATGCAGACACCCTTTTAAAAAGGGCATACCAGTTATGTCAAATTCGTTTTACTTTGTGTTTAGTCTGGCTAGTTCGAGATCTGATTGAACTGCTGACTGCTGATGGGGGGGTGAAAGAAATTAAATTTAAGAAATAAATAAACATATGATATAAATCTCGAGACAAAGACATTACAAGATAGATTTCGGATCATTAAGTGCGAATTCCATGTACTTACGATTGTTAATCAGCACCAGAATCTCATTGCAGCTGTCGCACATGATGAAGATTGTAAAGAATGTCACTTATATCGCCAGAAGAAACATTTTTCTCGCCACTTGCTTTCGCCTTCTTGCCGCAAGACAGACGAGAATTGTTTCCATCATGTGCGCATGCGCAGTCAGCAAATTCTGCAGAATCTTTTATTAACGAATCAATTTTTTAATTGTTATTTATTTTTCATAATAATTTTACATATTAGTAAATTATAAACAGTTGATTTTTGATAAATGTGAACTTTCTTCTGATATTATTGGTTTGCTAATGATGTTAATAAATATACTTACAGATTTCTCCGCCAAGGGTTATACTTTTTAAGACGTACACCGCGGAAGAAATGATGTAAGTTCTATTTATATCCATGTTCATTTTGCAAATGTTCATTTTGCAACCCCCCCCCCCCCCCCCCCCCCCCCCCCCCCCCCCCCCCCCCCCCCCCCCCCCCCCCCCCCCCCCCTCTTCCTCCCCCTTTTCCATAGTACATGTCGGCGATGGACCTGATATTGGCGACTAAAACATTCAACATCTTTCTTATTTGATGTTTCTCTTAATCGAGTTGTTTTTGCGTACAATATTTTTTTGCTGCACAACTATTTTCGTTTTCCACACACGTTTGTCAGTCTTCTTCTGCTGCTCTTGCACTTTTTTTCTTCACAAATGGACAGTGTCTTTAACCAGACTTTTACAGTGGCGTAGGAAAGTGGGTGCGGGCCGCTTCAGATATCGACACTAAAGTGGGCAACAAAATGCCAAAAATGTTTGTTTTAAAAAATATGTATATAGTAAAAGAATATAGTAAAAGACCATTTTTGCGCCATATTGGACATATAGGGTGAGACCTTTAGTCTATACACTAACAGGCACTCAGTGAGTGTTGTTGTTGACATCACCCTGTCTGCCTTTACCCCCAGGACTTCATCTGGTAACCGTTTTAGGTAATCTTTAATTTAAAAGTGACTTTGTGTCTTCTTGTTCGTGATTGTAACATTGTCCGTGCATGTAATGTGCTGATGAAGGCTTTCTGATCGCAACGTTCACTTATTGTTTGTGATATCATGAAGCTGACTAGCTCTACTTTTCGTTTGGTTTGATATATTTTAATAACATCTACGGTATTATACGCTTTCAATTAATCCATTCACGTCTCTGAGTAGAATTGTTTTTATTTTCTTTGTTCTCTATTAAAAGTGCAGCTAGGACACTGCGTTTTTGACGATTTGTTTACAGCTAGGCTGCGATATCTGCGTTTTCACCACATTACATCCGATTTCAGCATAGTCCAAACCATCTTTTACAAGATGCTTTTTTAAGGTTATGCCTATTCACCCCCCACCCCCAACCCGCCTCGCCCGCTCCCCCTTTGTAACCAGGAACCCACTCAGGAAAGACTCACTCAAGATTGCCTAAAGGGATAGCCAGTATCACGTCGACGCTACCTTGTCTCCTCTTACGACACTTATAAAAGGTAACAGTGCATTGTTTGCTTTTGTGGACACTGATTACACAGGAATTTGTTTGCCAAATATCCGACTACCCTGTCCGAAGAACGTTAGTAACTCGCGACCTTGACATGGTTTCAATGTTCAATCGGTCAGAAAGTTTCTTCACGCGTCGCTGACCCCATAGAGTTTAGACAACTCCGGGGATACTTTTGCCTGCCATACAAAAGATGTTACAGGAAGTGGCGACTGTCGTAGTCAAGTTTTACACACCCAACAATGCTCGGACAATACTAGATCCAAGCAGTTGTCTGTGCTTCATTGCCTGCGTACTGTATACGTGCACCTGTAGAGGGGTTGACTGCAGCAGATGAATTAGTTACCAGGTTTAATCACGTCCGGCTGTATGTATAAATCTGGAGCTGGCCGTGGTTCAATACTGTTTAGGTTTAAACAACGGATCAACATCATGGCACACGGGTGTAATCCATAAGTGCACTGTTCTTCTTCAAACTAAACCCTGAGTCCCCAGAAATTTCAACGCAGTGTTCGAGTCCGTACATAACTTATTTTTTAAAAAAAGACTTGGACTCCCAGGTCAATCCAGCATTGAGTAGGTACCAGGTGAAGTCCTAAAAAGTAAAGGCGGCCGGCGTAATGTTGACTACATTACCCACCAAATGGGATTTGGTCTAAAAAATCCAGGTCTAGCCCTATATACCCAATACACGTGAAGGCACAGACAGAGTCTTTTACTGACTCTGACACAACTCTCAGGCTTTTTTCCCCTTTATAGTAAAGCAAGCTCGTCCAATGTGTATTCTGTGCAATTTGACTGACTTTCTACCCCACCAGGACATCACACAAGTGATAAACACCCGATGACACAAAGTGCCACAATGCGGATGAGGATCGCCGTCGAGAGGTCCCAGAAACCGCGTTCAGACAATTGGCCATATTTATTGCCTGCCTATATTGCGGCCCCTAGCAAAAGCCAGGGTTGGGCTTCAAATAACAAAAAATTTCGTCCTAAAAAGGACGAAACACCGATTGCTAGGTAGATGCAATACCACTTCATCTGTGCAATTTTCTATTGCATGTGATTTATGTTGGTTTGTTGCCTGATATTTTCAGGAACATGTTTTGAGAATATTACAGTCAAATCTCGGTAATAGAAAATAGTTTAACTTTATAAGTTCCAAGTATTTGCCACTTTAACTCCATCCATCCCAAGAAGTTGAGCTTAAAACTAATAAATAGCTAGCTTATGTCTGAATGAGTTAAACAGACACACTACTGGGCATAGCTGATTTAACTGATATTTCGGTACTATTATTTTATTTCACCCATCCTAGAGAGCTGCGAGATTTCTAAGAGAATTACTAGGGAGTTCCTCGGAAAGTCCAGTATTAGGGGGGGGGGGGGTGGGGGTTGGAGTTAGTTTCTTCTTCTTCTTCACCTTCTTCTTCTTCTTTCAATCGTCCGAATAGATTATATCCACAATAGTGGTGACTTTAGTACGAGTTTCGCTGTCTCGTGTAAGTCAACCAACAACCGAAAAATTCGGTTTCAACGGGTGTTCTCTTGACCAGAACTTAAGGAGTTATATGCAAACTGTGGATATGTTGGGCTGGGTCCTGAAAAGGGCCGTCCTGCGGGAGGGGGAGTTTCCAGAGAAGAACCGATAGTGGCCATAAATCTTGTGGGTAAGCGCAAGACCGTCTTAATTTGTCAGATGGAGACGGTGTTGGTAAGGGTTAAATGCAGCAATGCTGACAGGTCAAGGAGGCTCACGGTAAAGGTGAAGTCATGAGGTAAGAACACCGTTTGTAAAGAGTACACAGTGGTGGCCATAAACGAATAACACTAACATAGAAACACACTTGAATTAATGACACAATAAACAATGAACACGCTGAAAACAACACACACATGACACGCCTGGAACATAGAGTGTTAGTGTTGTAGGGTTACTGTTAAATGAACACCGGGTAACAGTGACCCTAACCCTAACTCCCCTTATACTGTAGGACCATCCGGGGAACTACTAAATCTCGCAACCGACGAGATAGAGTTAAACGGTTTTTTTTTTTTTTTTTTTTAGAAAAACCGTTTATTTTGACGTTCATGTGTTAATATTTTACTGAGTTTTTATACGCATAATCTTTGTTCACTAGCATAGATGACCTACTTTTAACACATAATGCACGTGTAAAGGGGACAAAAATACTGACCTTTTTTCCACACCTTCTGGCGTATTGGGCATATAGGGCTAGACCTGTATATTTTTTTTTTACACACATCGGTGCTTGATGGGTGTTGTGGTTAACATCACAACGACCGCCTGCACTTCCCAAGAATTTATCTAGTACACATTTGAGATTGGTTCAGCCTGGGAGCCAGGGTTATCTGGTTAGTTCGACGTTAGTTTCCTTTAATAGAGTAGGTCACTTTTCATTCACAAGTTTGTTGGGCTGGTCGACTTTTCTGGATGTTACGGGTGTGTCCCGCTCTGATGTTTGGTTTCTGCGATGTCTTGCATTTACTTTTTCATTCGCAGAAAGAGAATGCCTGCGACATGGGTTTGAGCACTCCCTAAGAGTGTTGTGTTAGACCAAGTTTCTCCATGTTTTTGGAGTGTTAAAAGCGCTGTCGTGCGGAAATATACAACACGCGATATCAACGGTGTCGCGAAACACCCTCTGACCTTGTACGAAGGTCACAGGGCTAAAAAACTACCAATCAGAAGTGCGCTAGTGTGTATATGGGCGGGGTCTGGGTAGACTAACGTTGAACTAACGGGTTATTTCTGGGGTAAGAAGTCCGGTCCCACCAGGACCTAAAGCCTCAGGTCTGCAGTCCAGCATCTAGCCACTACACTACAGCGGCGCCCAAATACACATATAACCAGGGTTTGTGCATCTATATTTGTTTACCAGCCAAGGAAGAGTATGATAAGAGGCGACTCCAGTTGAGCGTATACAAAATTAACTCAATAAACAGAAGCACAATTCTTGTAGAAGAAAAAAACACATCCACTTGCCCGCGCGCACACATACACACACAGGTTATGATAGTGTGTTTTGTTTGCCAAACGCTCAGGAGTGTGGAATACTTTTCTCTTCGATCGTAACTCGTTTACGAGGTTCAATATTATTGTTCTTTTGTTCCCCGATAAAGGCTGAGGGCTCCTCTACCTGTCTGTGTTTGTTTTCGCCGACCTTCACAGTTGCGTCGGCTCTGTGGCTAAGTGGATGCGAACGCTTAGTAATGCCGGGATGCCGGGTTCAATTCCAGCTGCGGGCCATGCTCCTTGCGTTGGTTTCGACAGTGGTATCAAGAAAGCCGACGGTCCAGAGAACAATGGCAAACTACTGGACGTAAATTTGCCTAGAAAAACCACACAACAGTCAGGAGCTGTTGGGGTTGGTTCTGCAACGTCTGTAAAGGATACGCAACTTACCTACCTTCACAGTTGCACTTTGTTAATCCACTGAAGCAGGGCAGTCGACATTTTGTGTGGGAAAATAGTAATAAATGCTTTTCAAAAAGCTATCAAAACA